GCATTAAGAAAGGAATCTAACAAAAATGTCCCGGCATGATGATTGAGCTTCAAATGTGGAAGGGATCCCTTTAGGAAGTTATCCTGGACTTGCCAGGTATCCTTCTAGGCTTCTGCGGTTCCACTTTGGAACCCTCAATGCTCAGTCGGTTTGGTAGTAAGTTTATAGTCAGAGCAATATTGTGTGGTATCTGCTGAATTTTCTGTGTAATCCTCACATCCTTCATGGAGGGCTTTTCAGAAAAGGAAAATTACTCAGAAAGCTTCAATCACTTGCTATGATTAAAAATAATTTCATCAATATTAGGAGAAGGATAAAAACTAGTTCCAGAGGATTTTTTCAATATTGCATTAAATCAAAGAAAAGTGTAATTTCTTATTTAAAGATACGTTTCAGTAATATTGAGGAACTATTTAATTGTGGTTCATTTATGGTTATAGAACCTCTTTGTACCTGGATTTGAAATTTAGTGCATGGTTCTTTCCTGTCTGTCTGTTATGTTTGTAGAGCCTATGCGATGTATAGAAGTTGTATCTGAATTACATGGAGTTTATAGTTTTATCATTAGTTGAAAATTATATTTAAAGGAAACCTTAAGACTTTATCATAGCCCTCAGCTTCAAAAGATTAATAACAGCTCACTTCTTACATGAAAGGCATAAGATGTATTTTATTAATAAACCCATTTGCTGGGTCGTGAGGGGTATTATTAAAATCCATTAATGTTAACACTTACCTTGGAGTCTTGCAGTTAGTATTATATCTATAAATATTAAAGCAAAATAACAGGGAAGATAAATCAGCTATTAATGGAGTTATTTGCATGATATCTTGGAAATTTGTATGGGAAATGTTTTCCACCAATGTAAAATTGTTTACTTATAGTGATGAGATTCTCAGATCTTTAAAGTAGTAATTCTTTTTCAAAGCTAATCTTCATATCAGTTGGATTCTAGGAAGCTATTTGAATTACAGAAATGAGAACTTGAAGCAGGAGAAATGAGTCCTATTATAAAGAGACTGTCTCCTCAGGAATGCAAGAAATGGACAGCAGAGTCTGATGGCATAGCTGTTGGGTTACCTTACGTTTGTCTTGGTCATGTGGCAGCACCTTTCACCCAGAGACCAAGAAGACTTCCTTAAGTCTAGTTGGGACTAGTCATTGTATTTAAGAGCACTGTTCTTATATTATAATTCTCCCAACTAGAGACTCCAAGGGGTGCATTGGGACTATTCATTTGGCTTTAAATGTTATTTTAAAAGATGTTAGAGGAATAAGTCTCTAGGTCTTTTTTACTATATGCTTTATTAATAAATCCATTTCATTGTGAACTTTAACTTGCCTCCAGATATGTTTAAATACTGTATTTTGTCACCAAGAATTTCCCCCTTATATCTAGATCAAAATATAGTTTCCAGAACATTTGTCATAATGAGATTATTCATCAGCGAGAAATTGCTTATGGCACAGTTTGTACCGAGTGGGTTCCTGTTCACATGTTCTCATGTTGCCTTTTGCTTTGTCCTGTGTCTCCTGGAAGGTACTACCTCTGCTTACAGTTGCGAGATGACATCGTGTCTGGAAGGCTGCCCTGCTCCTTTGTCACACTCGCCCTCTTGGGCTCCTACACTGTCCAGTCAGAGCTTGGAGACTATGACCCGGACGAATGTGGGAATGATTACATTAGCGAGTTCCGCTTCGCACCAAACCACACGAAAGAACTGGAAGATAAAGTGATTGAGCTGCACAAGAGCCACAGGTTTGTGACAGAAACCCTGAGAGCAGCCCATTTAAGTTGTTTCTGGGTGGTGAGCGTCACTTCCTCTATATTGTTCTCCCAGGACTGATGTCAGAGTGTTAGGGGTGGGACATCAGCAGTAAGATTCTGTACTTGGTATGATTCTGGGGTAGTTATACCCTCACTCAGGACACCTATTTTCCATGTTTTCTTTACAAGCCATTTTTCTTATTATTCTGTCCACCACTACCCACCTCAGAACACTGATCTAGTGGTGCCTCTGTTGCGGCTTACTTGTTAGGACAGGGGAGCTAATGAGGAAATATTATAGCCCTGCCACGTAAACAAAAAGCAGCAGTGTAACATTTTCTTTTTTGCTTATCAGAGGAATGACGCCAGCAGAAGCAGAGATGCATTTCTTGGAAAATGCCAAAAAACTTTCCATGTATGGGGTAGATTTACATCATGCCAAGGTATGCATTTTTTAAACCCCAAACTTGCTATTTAATTTTATGTAATTGGGTATTGGTATTCCTCTTAAGCTGGTGATTTTTTACTTTAGTTAGTATAAAGGAAAACTTTGGGTATCAAATCTGTGTTTGCCTTTAAAACCGGTTCACTGATTAGCTCTCTAGTGTTTTGCTGACAGGTTTGCTCTACATGGCTCAAACTCACATTGCTAATGGCCCCAGCCTCCTGAAAGCCCACAGTAGGCAAAGCCTCTGATTGCCTGTGGATTGAATTAGACATTAATCTACACATAAGCTATTTCATCCACCTTCCCTGTCACCACTGTATCTGCCAGTTTGCGCACACATGTGCCCTCTGCTTCTGCCAGACTGTATCTGCCTTTCCCCTAAATATGCCCATCCTTGGACTGTCCTGTTCCTGCCTGTCTGCCTGTCTAAACTTGGCCTATTGCCAAGACCCAATTGTCGTATCTGTTGTGTGCCCAGTATTCTTTATGCCCCAGTTCAGGATGCCTACTCAGCACTAAGGAAATTCAGAATAAATTTAAATAACTCTCTCTCTAAAGCATAGGGACTCTGACAAATAATCAGAAATAAGATTGTCATTTGAACTTAACTGAAAGTAACCACCTAAGCTAAAGATTGCCTAGTTGACGGGTGATTGGTGAAATGTGGAAGCTGTATCTTGCCTATAGTCTTGGGAAGAAAGAAATTGGAATTGGTCAGAAGGTAAATTAAGGTGGTGAGTTGCAAAGAGCAGATTTTACTCCATGTTGTACTTTTTCCAGAATCTCGGTATTGTTCAGCAGTGAGAGAATGAGTGTGTAAGCTACTGCTCTATTATGTAAACAGTCACGAATAACAGTACTGCAGAAGTACAGGTGAGCTTGTCTAAAAGCTCTTATGATTAAAACATATGAAATTTGTTAGGATCTGAGAGATGGCTTCTGATACTTGAGCAGCATTATCAGTGTTTGAAGTTCAGGGGCAGTTTCTGCTGATTTGGGCAAACAAGATAACATCACTCCTGTATAAGGACTGGATCCATTTTAGCAGAAAGTGAATAGGAATCAATAGAAAAGCACAAACATATCAGAGTGTTTTTAGAATAGCAGGACTTTTTTGAGAATAGTGAGTAAAATAATCACTAGAAATAAATTTGATTGACAGGTATAATGTGGCTTATAGCCAATGTTGCAGTAATATTTTTCTGAGTAGCTTAGAAATAGTAGTCAGCACCCAAAAATACCTGGTCCTATGCCAACTCCTTTATAAGAAGCGAGAGTAGTGTCTCCACCATGTGACACTTATAGTGTGATATGAATGGTAGTGTCAGGAATAAACTAGAAAGAATAAAAGGACCTATGCCATTTGTAACAAATACAGATAACCTATGCAGCTAAGTATTTGTCACCTATGCAAGAAAATAGCGCAAAGAAAGTTTCTAGAAGTACATATGGTATTGTCTCTCTCTTCTGAATGTTTGGGAAGGGCTCACGAATAAACTGTAGTTTCCAGAAGTCATTTAAGGGTGAGAAGTCTTAGGAGAGTACTTGAAACCTAAGTGCTGGAGTGTGGGCTCACAGAATCACTGCGAAAGGCAGACCATGGCTCCTCTCCTGGTGCAGATGAAAGACTCCCTGTAGGGGGCCAGAGGGGGATCTTTTAGTAGCACATTCAGAATACAGGCGGGGTCCGCACTGTGCCACCTTTAGCGTGGTTAGTGGGTGAAAGAAACAGATATAAGCAGTGTGCCCGTGGAGAATACCCAGACTTAAATGAACTGATGCGTTGAAAGGCTGGAAGAAAGGACCGCAATGAATAGAAGTTCAAGGAGCAATCACAGAGAGAAAGGGAGTAAATAGAAAAGAAGTGGAAAGGAAGCCAAGGTGTTTTTTTTTCATGTTTAAAATCAACTGTATACAATTAGAGATACTGTTAATACAAGAAAGAGCTTAGTAAGGCTTAATAATGTTTCGAGTGTATGTGTGGACAATACATAGAGTTAGGGCCTGTGAGCTGACATCTCGCTGACTTTATTTGATGCTAGAGACACCATATGTAGTTATCACAGGATACAGAACAGCAATGTGTGAAGAGGATCAGTCCAGGCCTGGCTAAGAAGGAGGTGTTTGGTAATGCAGAGTAAATACATTCAAGTGTCAAGGCTGGAATTTGATAATGCAAAGGACATGCAAGTATCTCTATAATCAAAAATTTCCCTAAGTAAGAAGATTTTTCAGCAGCCCGTGGAGCATCTCACTTCTTAAATATTCACTACAACAAACCTTTCCCATAAAATGAAAGTATCTTGAACAGTCCCTTGCCATGTGTTATCATGGGATTTGACCTGTAATAACAAAGCAGAAAGGACAAAGGAAATGGGATTATGTCTGTAATGTTGGTATGTGAGCTATCCAGACTTCATAGCAATAGATCCAGCCAATTCCAGATTTGTCTGATTGAGGATTATCTGTATTGTTCGCTTTTTTCTCCCTCTTCCAAAAGCTTACCTTCCTTCCTGAGAAAGGGAAGAAGTTTAGTCAATTTCCTTTCTGGTTAGAAGCACCAATAATGGATTTGATTCAGGAGAAGATTAGAAACTAGATGAACTTTCTGACTTAATCTGTGGGTTTCATTTAACAGACACTACCCTGTTTTCCATTAATGATCAAAAGTTGCCTAGGTGCTAGTACTTGGAGTTAAGGCAGTTCTGGCTACCAATTAGAATTGTAAGTATAAAGGGATTTTCTAAGGTTTTATTCTAATTTTCCCTCTCATCTCTGCAGGTGGCGCTTGGCACTTTTCATTTAATGTGAAATTTTACCCGCCAGACCCTGCGCAGCTATCTGAGGATATCACCAGGTATTTGAAAGTTGGCTATGAAAAAGGCAGGTATATTGGGAGAGCTGTAACCTCTCTTAAATGCTCTGGAGAAGAGTGTGCTCACTGGTAACCTTACAGTCATCCATGCTGAAATGGCAAACAACAGGCAGCTGACAGAGAGCAAACATCTGATGCAGAGATTTTGCCAGATCCTATCTGTTCACAGTTGAATCTTGGGTGCTAAGTGGATATTTCCCTCTGCCTGACCCTGGGGGGAAAACATGGGGAATTTAAATACTGCCATCCACCCACCACAGCCAAACTGGAAAGGATTCAGCCTTTCATGATAAAGCAGCAATTCCTAGCCCTCCCACTTTAAAACTTAGAGTAAAACCTTGGATGCTTATGCCTTTCATATAACCCAGCTGATACATGACAGATGTTCTTAAAGAATCACATATACATACATACACATAGATACACATACACATAAACACATACTTTAAAATTTTACTTCCCATGCACTGTGTATACAAGGAAAATGATCAATTTGTTTTCAGGCGAGAAGGCATTAAGAAAGGAATCTAACAAAAATGTCCCAGCATGATGATTGAGCTTCAAATGTGGAAGGGATCCCTTTAGGAAGTTATCCTGGACTTGCCAGGTATCCTTCTAGGCTTCTGCGGTTCCACTTTGGAACCCTCAATGCTCAGTCGGTTTGGTAGTAAGTTTATAGTCAGAGCAATATTGTGTGGTATCTGCTGAATTTTCTGTGTAATCCTCACATCCTTCATGGAGGGCTTTTCAGAAAAGGAAAATTACTCAGAAAGCTTCAATCACTTGCTATGATTAAAAATAATTTCATCAATATTAGGAGAAGGATAAAAACTAGTTCCAGAGGATTTTTTCAATATTGCATTAAATCAAAGAAAAGTGTAATTTCTTATTTAAAGATACGTTTCAGTAATATTGAGGAACTATTTAATTGTGGTTCATTTATGGTTATAGAACCTCTTTGTACCTGGATTTGAAATTTAGTGCATGGTTCTTTCCTGTCTGTCTGTTATGTTTGTAGAGCCTATGCGATGTATAGAAGTTGTATCTGAATTACATGGAGTTTATAGTTTTATCATTAGTTGAAAATTATATTTAAAGGAAACCTTAAGACTTTATCATAGCCCTCAGCTTCAAAAGATTAATAACAGCTCACTTCTTACATGAAAGGCATAAGATGTATTTTATTAATAAACCCATTTGCTGGGTCGTGAGGGGTATTATTAAAATCCATTAATGTTAACACTTACCTTGGAGTCTTGCAGTTAGTATTATATCTATAAATATTAAAGCAAAATAACAGGGAAGATAAATCAGCTATTAATGGAGTTATTTGCATGATATCTTGGAAATTTGTATGGGAAATGTTTTCCACCAATGTAAAATTGTTTACTTATAGTGATGAGATTCTCAGATCTTTAAAGTAGTAATTCTTTTTCAAAGCTAATCTTCGTATCAGTTGGATTCTAGGAAGCTATTTGAATTACAGAAATGAGAACTTGAAGCAGGAGAAATGAGTCCTATTATAAAGAGACTGTCTCCTCAGGAATGCAAGAAATGGACAGCAGAGTCTGATGGCATAGCTGTTGGGTTACCTTACGTTTGTCTTGGTCATGTGGCAGCACCTTTCACCCAGAGACCAAGAAGACTTCCTTAAGTCTAGTTGGGACTAGTCATTGTATTTAAGAGCACTGTTCTTATATTATAATTCTCCCAACTAGAGACTCCAAGGGGTGCATTGGGACTATTCATTTGGCTTTAAATGTTATTTTAAAAGATGTTAGAGGAATAAGTCTCTAGGTCTTTTTTACTATATGCTTTATTAATAAATCCATTTCATTGTGAACTTTAACTTGCCTCCAGATATGTTTAAATACTGTATTTTGTCACCAAGAATTTCCCCCTTATATCTAGATCAAAATATAGTTTCCAGAACATTTGTCATAATGAGATTATTCATCAGCGAGAAATTGCTTATGGCACAGTTTGTACCGAGTGGGTTCCTGTTCACATGTTCTCATGTTGCCTTTTGCTTTGTCCTGTGTCTCCTGGAAGGTACTACCTCTGCTTACAGTTGCGAGATGACATCGTGTCTGGAAGGCTGCCCTGCTCCTTTGTCACACTCGCCCTCTTGGGCTCCTACACTGTCCAGTCAGAGCTTGGAGACTATGACCCGGACGAATGTGGGAATGATTACATTAGCGAGTTCCGCTTCGCACCAAACCACACGAAAGAACTGGAAGATAAAGTGATTGAGCTGCACAAGAGCCACAGGTTTGTGACAGAAACCCTGAGAGCAGCCCATTTAAGTTGTTTCTGGGTGGTGAGCGTCACTTCCTCTATATTGTTCTCCCAGGACTGATGTCAGAGTGTTAGGGGTGGGACATCAGCAGTAAGATTCTGTACTTGGTATGATTCTGGGGTAGTTATACCCTCACTCAGGACACCTATTTTCCATGTTTTCTTTACAAGCCATTTTTCTTATTATTCTGTCCACCACTACCCACCTCAGAACACTGATCTAGTGGTGCCTCTGTTGCGGCTTACTTGTTAGGACAGGGGAGCTAATGAGGAAATATTATAGCCCTGCCACGTAAACAAAAAGCAGCAGTGTAACATTTTCTTTTTTGCTTATCAGAGGAATGACGCCAGCAGAAGCAGAGATGCATTTCTTGGAAAATGCCAAAAAACTTTCCATGTATGGGGTAGATTTACATCATGCCAAGGTATGCATTTTTTAAACCCCAAACTTGCTATTTAATTTTATGTAATTGGGTATTGGTATTCCTCTTAAGCTGGTGATTTTTTACTTTAGTTAGTATAATGGAAAACTTTGGGTATCAAATCTGTGTTTGCCTTTAAAACCGGTTCACTGATTAGCTCTCTGGTGTTTTGCTGACAGGTTTGCTCTACATGGCTCAAACTCACATTGCTAATGGCCCCAGCCTCCTGAAAGCCCACAGTAGGCAAAGCCTCTGATTGCCTGTGGATTGAATTAGACATTAATCTACACATAAGCTATTTCATCCACCTTCCCTGTCACCACTGTATCTGCCAGTTTGCGCACACATGTGCCCTCTGCTTCTGCCAGACTGTATCTGCCTTTCCCCTAAATATGCCCATCCTTGGACTGTCCTGTTCCTGCCTGTCTGCCTGTCTAAACTTGGCCTATTGCCAAGACCCAATTGTCGTATCTGTTGTGTGCCCAGTATTCTTTATGCCCCAGTTCAGGATGCCTACTCAGCACTAAGGAAATTCAGAATAAATTTAAATAACTCTCTCTCTAAAGCATAGGGACTCTGACAAATAATCAGAAATAAGATTGTCATTTGAACTTAACTGAAAGTAACCACCTAAGCTAAAGATTGCCTAGTTGACGGGTGATTGGTGAAATGTGGAAGCTGTATCTTGCCTATAGTCTTGGGAAGAAAGAAATTGGAATTGGTCAGAAGGTAAATTAAGGTGGTGAGTTGCAAAGAGCAGATTTTACTCCATGTTGTACTTTTTCCAGAATCTCGGTATTGTTCAGCAGTGAGAGAATGAGTGTGTAAGCTACTGCTCTATTATGTAAACAGTCACGAATAACAGTACTGCAGAAGTACAGGTGAGCTTGTCTAAAAGCTCTTATGATTAAAACATATGAAATTTGTTAGGATCTGAGAGATGGCTTCTGATACTTGAGCAGCATTATCAGTGTTTGAAGTTCAGGGGCAGTTTCTGCTGATTTGGGCAAACAAGATAACATCACTCCTGTATAAGGACGTGTCTTTACTTTTGATAGACAGAGTGGTCACCAATTTCACAGTCTGTGACTCACAAAAACATGCAGTTAATAGGTTTCCAGGCAAGCGAGTATCTTACACAGTCAAGTTTGGGTCCAGGAAATGAAGAGAGTGTCAGCTGGCTCTGTTCTAGCAAATATTTCAACAATCCTAAGGACCCATGGAAGGGAGTCTGTGATCTATAGGTTCTGTTGATACTGCAAGCGGGGCTGCTCCCTGGTGGGCATGTGGGGAGCAGACTCATCCACAGAGAATTTGGACAAGAAAATAGAGCCATCAATCAAACAAATGTAGGTTTAATTGGTTATGTCTGTGGGTCATTTTGTGCATCATGCAGGGAGGGCCCTTCCAAGGCCTGAACACTAGCAACATCTCCGAGAGGGAGCTGGGGCTTCTGCTAGAGAGGTGCTGAACAGCGAGTGCCAAGCTCTTCCATGTTTGTGTGTAGTGCCACAGCAGGTGCAGCTGTATTTATAACTCATTCTTATATTTCTTTACTTATTTTTCACTCAGATGACAATGTGTTTTATATTTTATGCCAGGTATAAGATAGGATGAGGTGTCGAAAATAAAATAAGGATACACACTGAGATTGTTCTTAGAGTTTTTCCCTAGATGGCTAAAAGACAAGGAAACAAGAAGGAAATGAAGATAACCTGGAAATTTAAGGGAATCAAAAGCTATTTTCAAGTTACAGTACACACGATGATTCACTTATTGCCCAGGAAAAATAAGTAAATGAAAGACGAGGGCACACATTTGGGAAAGTGCAACTCAGGATTTATCAGTGTTCCTACCAGTAAATATAAAATCACTTCACATCACTATATAGCTACTGAATTAAAATAGCTGGCTTTCCATTCAATAATATGACTTGAAATTATGTCAGTTGAAAAAGAAAGAGAATTAAGGAAAGGCAAATGTAGCCTGTTATAGGATTTCATCTGAATATTAAGTATAACAAATGACTCAGTTATGGGCTCCATTTTCTCAGGCAGCCATACTCCATCACTTCAAGAAGGAAATTTACTGAATTAAATCAGAGCTAATTTCTGGTTATAAGTGAGATGCTTCTCTTCTGTTGATGGTAATGAAAGGCCCTGAGTTTTAGGATCTATTTCAAAATTCTGAATTGTTATCTTGGACTCCACAGCTCTGTGTAAAGAATATAACATACCCATATTAGATGGGTAAATACCCTGTTTTGGACATTTTAAATGTTTTTTTATAGGGAAACTGTCTCTGCTTGTTCATCATTTCATCTCAGTCTGAATAGGCTCTGTGAGAGTCATTTCTTTCATATAAGTTTCTGAAATGTAGAAATGAACCCATGTTGGATATCCCACAGACCAAGTGATAGAAAACAGCAAAGTCTGAACAGGGACAAAGTTTACAAGAAGAGAACAACACACTCGTGTATTTTAGTTATGATGGATTGACACTGCTCCCTGCTAAAGGGGCATTAAGTATATTTATTGTTAGGGAAACACACCTGTCCCCAAGAAAGACTGCTATTACAGCTTTCAATACAAAAGATTTATCCATACTGCAAGCAGTGCAGAAAAGTTGATATCAAAAGTATTATTGTTTTGTTGTTATGGATTAATGAAATGGAAACATGCATCCAACTGAAAGCCCCACTTATTCCTAACATTTTCGTTCTTCATTTGTCTTTCAACATGTAATGACTTAATACCTGCTAGAAGGCACAGGTAGGCATTACGTGGGGGCCCCATGGTTACAAAAGTGAAACCGCGCCCCTGCTCTGAGCCTGCTTACAGTCTCGGGTCAGAGGAGGAGGAGAGTTACGCAGCACCGTTTGCTTGCAGTGTGCAGCGGTACCAGAATGATGTGTGGACAGAGAACTGTGTGCTGGAGGGGACAAGGAGAAGTGGGGGCGTCCGGGGGCCTTCCTGACCTTCCCCATTCAGGCATTCTGTTTTCTTATGATTCAAAGGCACTAATGGGTGATTTTAAAATAGATAATAATAATGAAAAGGGGCTTACTGCCCTTTTTCTCTGTAGGTCAGAGGCATGCTTCCTAATCTTATGCTGTGTATTTCTCAAAAAGAAAGCGCTTTAAAGAGCAGTTATCCCAATGGTCCTCCCTTGTGCCTGCATTTCTGCTCATGACATGAGGTGGTCACCTCAGCGCAATCCTGTGAGTTCTAAAGAATCAATAAGGCCAGCTCCTTGTCAGCCTCGGTTCACAGCTCTTTAAACTGCTCTTTCAAATGGAAGCCATGGATAAATGGTAGGCAGTTTCTGGTCTGTGAGTTCTCCTCAAGTCTTATCACGTTGTAATATCCCGCCATCAAGTATTTCCACTTCCATAATTTCCTGTCTAATGGAATGATATGTTTCCAAGGTAAAAATGTTCCATTTTTAAACCAATTAGATTGTATTTGTAAATTTACTTTTCCCAGAGATGGAACAAAAATATTTATTTTTGATTTTGGAGATGTTCATTGTGTACCATGCACTGGCAGGACGTGGGCAGCGAATGCCAACAATGGAGATGAGCCAGAATCTCCTGTCTGTATTCTTCCCTTTGCCCCTCCCCTCTCTGCTGGTGCTCAGAGTGACTCAAACCCGGGAAAGCCCTGCCAATTAATGTGACAGAAGACTTCTGCTTTGCCCGTGTGCCCCCTGCTTTCAACAGCCAGTGAGACGAGGGGGTGGAGACGGTGCCACACACACAGTCTGCCTCTGTCCTCTGTTCTTACCCACCAAGGCCACTGATGTTCACTTTACCCTGATTTCATCCAAATGCAACATTTAGGGGTCATAGAGCATACACAGTTTGTCTCCTGAGCTTCGTCTGATGTTCACTTTACCCTGATTTCATCCAAATGCAACATTTAGGGGTCATAGAGCATACACAGTTTGTCTCCTGAGCTTCGTAAAGCATCTCTGACATCCTCTGAGACCTCTCATCAGGCAACCCTAGGAAATAACCTAAAGAGGAAACACCAGCAAGTCACAAATACAGCATGATCCCACTGTTGTTTAAAAAAAAAGCGTACACATATATAAATGTATCTATGCTTATGTATGTGAACCAAATTGTTAAATACCATGACCACTGGCCAGTGTGTGTATGTTCTGGGTGTGTTGGGGAAGTACACACATACTTTAAAAAAAATTCTTTGTTTAAATTTTACTCTGACAGTAGTGTATATAGAAAAGATTGAAGCTCTTTTTAAAGAAACAAACCCCAAAGCATTCATAGGAAAAGGACAGGGCCTCTATGTTAGTATCCATGTTAGTTAAAACTTATGCCTCTAGATCCAGGCTGCCCATATTCAAATGAGATAGACATTTAATCTTTCCATGCCATTTCCTCATCTGTAAATGGGAATAACAATAGCAACCATCTCAAAATAGCATAGTGAAGATTATAAGAGTTAATATTTGTAAAGTGGTTAGAGTAGTGCCTGGCCTTCAATAATGGGAACTGTAGCTATTATTATATTGTTATTAACACACCTTCATCTGGTTGGCCTTCTCTGTGTGCAGTATTTACATAGTACGTCTAAGATACCTGGGTGAGCAGATTGTACTCTAATCAATCTCCGTACTGATAAATAGCTTCATTAAAATGCTATTATTCATGATAATGTTTTAAAAATGGCTGCAGTATTTTTCATATTTAAATTAGAACTACGGGTAGTTAATTAGAGGTTTTGCCATGGATGCTCAAATACTGTAGCCAGCTGTAAGTGGAAGTAAGTGAAAGACTGATCTGTCGTCTCTTGATGATATTTTCCAGGATTCTGAAGGAGTAGAAATTATGTTAGGAGTTTGTGCAAGTGGTCTGTTGATATACCGTGACCGACTGCGAATAAACAGATTTGCCTGGCCCAAGGTTCTAAAAATTTCATACAAACGGAACAACTTCTACATTAAGATCCGGCCGGGAGAGGTAAGTGGACACAAATTTGTATGTACTTTGGGAAAAAAGGTGCCAGATAGCAAATAAAATAAATTACCTGCTCTCAAGCTCTGAACATCACATTGACATGGTGAGTTATGTCTAAATGCCCAAGAGAATTTATTGTGGTTTGTCCAATAAACACTCATAAATAAAATATTCTCTTCTTTGTTGTTTTGCCATAATTTTTTCCCACTACATACATTGAAAGGGTTTTATATTTACTTATTTTAATGTAAAATCAAGATTCATGAATAATGTTTTCTATGTTTCATGCTATGGTATAAAAGAAACTCTGAGCTGCTGAACCTCTTTATGAAGAAAAAATAGATTTTTCCTGTCTGTCCTGTTGTTCTGTCTTCCCACCCTCTCTTTTTGTCATCTAACTCTGATGTGATGGCACCCTCAAATGAATAGCTTAGACATAAATGCACATCACGGTACAAGGAAGAACAAAACAAGGGATACTGAGTATCAGTTATGTAAATGTTTCACAGCTTAACATATTTCTGCCTTTTTAAATGTTTAATCAGAGAAACTAATGAAAGAATCAAAGTTGTTAACCAATCCTTGCTCCTTTGGCAAAAGCACCCATGATCAGCTTATATCCTCCTTAGTGGTTTGTACACAATAAGTAATAAATATCTGCTATTATCTGCTTAATAGGTAACTAATAAATACATCCAGTTTCTAATTAGTGTGGTTAATATAATGAAGGTATCAAAGCTCTACAATTGCAGCTCATTCATCTCTGAACATTTTCTGGCACAATATAGAATTATCTCCTATCTTCAAGATCAGCTTTCCACTGGTAGAAAATGCAGTTAAAAAATAAGACTACATGGGCTATAATGTACAGCATTGCTACAGTAGTTACTGTACTTTATATCTGAAATTTGCTAAGTGTTGGGGATGGCTGAAACCTGAAGGGAACTGAGAGAGGACAGCTGAGAGACTGGGGTGAAAGAACGGTCAGGGATAAGGGAGTTTGCTAAGAATAATAACAAGTCCTAGATGTTGAGTCTGAGTGTGCTGAGATAGACTCTATCCTGAGGACAGAGTCTGCTTGTTTTGTAAAAAAGTATGTCAACACTCAAGCACATGTTTCTTGATCTCTGGTTAACTTGCCCCTTCTGAGTTTGTATGAAAAGAGGAGAATAAAGGCTATATGTTACGTTCCGGCTTGACTGGGTGTCCTCTCAGAGTGAGTTGTACATTTATTCAGCTCCACACCTCCCCTTCAGACTGTTCAACTTCGACGGCAGGCACCGTCAGCTAAGAGAGTAGAGATCTTAAAAGTTTTCAGCAGAAGAAAAAATGTGATTATGTGTGGTAATGAATATTAACTAGACTTATTGTGTTGATCATTTTACAATATATATATATACAGACAACAAATCATTAGGTCCTAACACCTGGAACTAATGTAATGTTATATGTCAATTATATCTCAATGTGAAAAATTTTTAAAAATGAGACTATAAAGCCAGCAACCATGTTTAATGTAAATATATATGAGGACTGAAATAATCTGTAAGCTTTTCATGTATATACCTGAAATTATTTTTTTCATATTTCCTAAAGACTACTATTAAACTTATAACCAATATATATTTAACTTATTAAACATTTCTTAAATGAACATCTTTTCATTGGCAAATACCATATTGGGCATTGAAACAGAAAGATCAATATGACCTTGTTCCTGTCCTTAAGGGACTTTCTGTTTAGCAGGGAAACAAACACTCATGTGCTTAGAATTACAATGTCCGGATACACATGCAGTAATATTCCACATACATGGGATGGACAAAGTGTTGTGAAGGGCCAGAGGGGAAGGTTGGAGAAATGCATCAGGAGACAGTTGTGAGCCGTGGAAGGTTTTACATAGGGATGTGACATACTAGATGAGTATTTTGGAATGAAATTCAGCATCTTAGCAATGGGATGTGAAAAGATGTAAAGTAGGGCAGAGGCTGTGGAAGTAAAATGGAAAGAGCAAATGGGAGAGGTTTCAGAGCCAGAACTGGTAGATCTTGGAGACCGGATGGGAAAGGATAGCAGGAGGAAGGAGTCCAGGATAACCAGAGGTCTTCAGTTTGCATGAGTGAAATCAATGGACATGATGGGAATAGACAAGAGGGGGACAGTGAGAGGATTTCAGAAAAAAATATTGAAATTCCTTTGAGAGATATATTCACAGGGTGCTTCTTGCATAAGAAATATAGGACTTGAACTGAGTCACCAACTGTATACCTTTCATTTAAGGGCTTAGGTGTAGAATATTAGTTACTCAGAGAACAAGGGGAGTTAAAGAATAAAAGACATCCTAAAACAAAAACTCTGGCTAACACTACTTTTTGAGGGAAGGGCAGGTGAAAGAGGGACTTAGGGAGATAAAAAAAAAAACCACACAACCACCACCACAGCCAAAAAACATCCAGAGAAAGAAGAGAAGGGATTAAAAACAGTCAGGGATGATGATGATATGAGATTCAGAACACATGGTTAACCAGAAGGGCCAAATGTTAGAAGGCACTCAGGAAGAAAACTAAGAAAAGTGCATCGGACTTGACGATCAGATCCTTGTGACACTGAAGAGTTCAGGAAGGGTTAGGAGCACCTGCCAGATTGCAGTTGAGTTTTTAAGGAGTATAATAGCCAAAGCTCCCTCTTCGTGACATTTAGCAGGGAAGAGGGGGTTCTGGTTCAGACAGAAGCAAGCTCAAAGAAAGTTGGTTGTTCCCCCTTTTCTTACAATCATATTTATAGGGCAAGAAGAAATTATTGGTGGCACAAAGTGTCTGCAGAGGTTGAAAGAAATGGATACAAAGTATAGAGAGATAGATAAACATTCAGAAAATGCAGGGGCCTCAATCATCCTTGGACAAAGAATAACACAAAGAGAATCTTGCTGGCTTCTTGCAGTAGAAGATGAATTGACTTCTTTAAAAGCCCTCGCCTTAGCATAGTGTGTGGTCATATTAGATACAGGATAAATAAATGGAGAATGGGTTAGTCAAGATCCACAGTACTCTGGCTTGTTGACTGACTGGGTCTGTTGAACAGTGGTGATTTTTAGGTCCGCGACTGCACACGAATGTTCAGAGTGAGTAAAATTGGGAAAGGCAATTGCCATTTGAGCAACTTGTGATAAATTTCCCAGTCTCTCCTCTGCCTAGGCCTAATCAGCACCCAAGAACTAGAAGTATATTATATCCCATGTGCCATGCACAGAACCCCTCCCCTTGGTCCTTTGCTATTGATTTTATCAGTCGTCTGGTTGTTTTGTACTCTTTTGGAGAACCTTTACTGTTTAAAATGATTGCCCTCTGGTGGCCTGATGCATACCATCTTCAGAAAATAAAAAAGATTTTCAGCCATGGCAATAATATTAAACTATATTACCCAGAAAATGAGCTATTTCACTTTGAAAAATCAAATGGCTGATAGATTATCATCTGCACTATCCATGCTGAAAAATACAAAAATGTGTTCTCCCAGTATCTAAACTTACAAGTAATATTGAGAGATACTAGCATTTAACATGGTAATCCATACTGGACTGTACAAATAAAATCAGAAATACTTGATACCAAGTCATAAAGTGCCTAGGAAATATGGATATTTCCTCACCAGATACTAGGAGAAAAATGTCATCTTGAGAATTGAATGTTTTGTTCATTTCTGTATATTTGAGTTGAAGTCATGATGTCATGAAGAAACCTTGAAATTAAATCTTAAAAATGAGATCAAGACAAATTGGTCTCTGGAAGGAACCCAGTTATCTTCCTTTTCTGCATTTAGTTAGCATAAAACCCATACTTGTACATTAAAAAATGTGCTATGTGCATAATGTGGTTATTATACCTGCAGCATTTCAACAAGATAGGTACAAGGAGATTTTATTTAATGAATAAATTTGTATAACATGAATTCTGCATATAGCAATTGATTTGGTGAGTAAAGAAAAAATTGTGGGTGGTGTTATTATTTTGTAAATCATTTGCTGTTATGTTATATATAATTCCAAACGACTTTACTTTTCAATGTGTTTTTCAAATGTAGTTTGAACAATTTGAAAGCACCATTGGGTTTAAGCTGCCAAACCATCGAGCTGCTAAACGTTTATGGAAAGTATGTGTGGAACACCATACCTTTTTTAGGTAGGTAATAATCATTTTGTTTCCCTTGAGGCAGACCTAGAATGATCAGCGTCACTTACATGAAAAGGTTGTTGGGACGAACATGGAAGCATAATCCTTTCTGTTTAAGTTCAATCACCAGATTTCTTGACAATAAGTCCTAAGAGAACTTCTGAAGAAATTTGAAGGAAATTTCTTGTCTTATATTTATCAACCCCATTTCCCCATTCTTTATTATCTTTATTGTCTTTTCATTATTTTTATAGGATATTCAGTTGAAGTATCCAATCCATTCTTTACTATTTCAGTAATTTCTAGATACCCTGGACTCCTTTGTTCACAGAAAGTATTTGGACCATCAGATTTGTGTCTACAGCATAACAAATTATAACTTTCCTTCTTTCACTAATATCACCTATTTAACTGCTCTTTGGAATTAATAGAACCACAGACTCTCCAGTTGCATGGATGTTAAAATTCATGAAGTCCATACCAACCCCCATTTTGTTGAGCCACTCCAGAACTTCTTAGTTGATATGCACTGTGTGAATTGATTTTTCTTGTACAAAATCACATTCATTTAATTTCATGTGTGTGTTAAACCTTTAGCACACAAAGTACCTTATCTTTCACGACAGAGTAAAAAGATAGCATTCTTAATGTTTGACTTCATAGTCTTTCTTGCATTTCTTCTTTAATATCTTCAGACTGTTGCTACCAGAAGCGCCTCCAAAGAAATTCCTTACCCTGGGCTCCAAGTTTCGTTACAGTGGCAGGACGCAAGCCCAGACAAGAAGAGCCAGTGCACTGATAGACCGTCCTGCCCCTTACTTTGAACGCTCGTCCAGCAAACGTTACACCATGTCTCGCAGCTTGGATGGAGGTAGGCATCATTCCCAAGCCCTTAACAATAATCATTAGTGGCTACCAGAAGTAGGGTGGAGCCGTCACAAGCTTTGTATTTACAGAGATCCTCTTGGATAGTATGAAATGAAAAGCACTCGTTGGTCTGCGGCTGAATGGCAAGTTTTATAAAAAGTGCCTTTGTGAGTTTAATATATATTATTGGTGGGTTTATATAAAATTACATTAAAAGAATGGTACTTAGGGAATGACAAGCATAGATTTCATAAGCCAGCACCCTGAATTTTCTAAATCTAATCGTCATATACTCTACACGTAATTTGGTTCTCTTGCTGGCAGATCTTAAATGATTATCAGGTTTTTCAGACAATTTGTTTCAGAAGAAAAACTAAGTTAAATTGATCTCTTTCTAAGAAATTTCTATGAATAAAATGTGACTTTTATCAGCCAATGAATAAATAGCTGATAGAGAGGATGACATTCAAATACCTCAGCAAAAAGCTCTGAGTTAGATCCTCCTGGTTAATATTAATTCCTATCCCAGATGGGCAGGAAGAGCATTGCTATGTAAATGTGCTCTACTGTTAAGTCAAATCTGTAAGTAAGACAGGGAGAGAGTCACATAAATAACATTTTAAGGAATGACTTAATTGTGAGTTTTTAACAGGCTTCTGTTTTATGTGACAATATTTTGAATTGCTGTCCTTACTTACAGACAGATGTGCTTTCTGCTACAAGACATGGCAGGGAGTAATAGTTAACTTAGGGACTGACCACGGCCAGGCATCTGCCTTGTAATTCACAGCTCCTGGAGGTTAATGTTTTGTAGAAGACCTGTCCTGTGCACATAAAAAGAGAAGATTCTAGTGTGTGTACAATTTTAATAATAACAAAAACATAAAAGTAAATAAAAATTCACATGCCTAGGATCACCTTCCTCCTTACCTTTCTGCCACCACTCACCGTAGAGTCCCAAAGCTCCTTTCTCTTTCCCCTTGCTCCAGCTTGCTGGTGGGGAGGTGACCATTCCCTTAATCCCCTGACTTAAGAAACTGTTTTCCTGATGGGGTATTTTATTGACCATTTACCAAGTCAAAATTGTATTATTAGGGTTATATTGCTTATGTTGCAAGTGAAGTAGAAAGAGCACTTACTTACCTGGCATACCTCATCCCAGACAGAGTCCAGGCCATCTGGCCTGCTGTCTTTGTGGCAGTTGGCGAATGATTCAAACTTCCAGGTCTCGGTTTTAATAATTATCTGTAAAATGGGTCTGTGGCCACCTCTACCAGGGTTATTGCAAAGAGTGAATAAGACATATGTGAAAGCATTCTTGTTACAGATATAATAGTGATTATATTGATGATTATCCTCATAGGCATTTGTGAGCTGGCCTGGGATCAATTACCATTCTATATCTTCCAGTTGTTTCCTGTTTTCGGAATATCCCACTTAGAGCCAAACTTTTAGAATAAAATCTTTATTAGGACTGTTTCAAGTAGAATTAAGATACCAAAAAGTCCATGTTAACAGTGGAGCATCTCTTTTTACCCTGTCACATTTACTCTTCTTTCTCCTTTAGAGACTCTTCATAAAGAATCTGTTGTGTATTTCATATGTCAGGAACTTTTATAGAATCACACCATATTTTCCACAAATATCATCCACTTTGTTCAGAGATGTGTACCTAAGGAACACATTTTTTTTATTGTTTTCCTTGTGACATTTTGTGTGATGATGGTTGCTGAGAAGACAGAAGACACTTGTGAAATAAATGTACTAATATCATACTGTCTCTTCCTCCCTGCCCAAAAGCGATGTTAGTATGTGTTGTCTCTTGATGTTAGTATGTGTTGTCTCTCGCTCTTTGGGGTCCTGCCAATTCTAGTATGTTTTCTGTGCTGCTGAGCCAGGTGCTATGGCTGCATGTTAAAACATAAAACTGCTTTTTGCAGGTTGCATCTGATTTAGAACAGCCTAATGGGCCAATTTGGAAACTATGTCTCATATGAGCTTTTTCTTCAGTGTAAGGAAACATGAAATATCTTAGTGAAGATATTTTAGTGAAACAGTTCAGTTATTATAAAAGGATTTCAGAATATTTTCTTACATTGATGTTTTAAACTTCCTAAAATATGAAAGCTGATTATATTTTACTTATGATTAGCTACTGTGTATTTGAAAAAGCATTAATTGTAAGTTGAAATACATTTTATATATCTAAAACCTAAAATAACGAGTACTGAATTTTAAATATTTAACTGAACTGAGCATTTCTTTCACTAAGACATTTTAGCTGGGATGAAAGGCTGTGGTCCTACATGGCTTATGTCTGTGCACTTTGCATTTGCATGAATTTCATTAGCAATGGTTGGTCGTCTTGCTTTCACAAAAGATTAGAGATGAAGGGATGCATGCATACCAAGGTAGTCTGCTGAAAGTGCAATAGGAGTTAAAACATTGCTTCATTTCAGTTGAACAGAGTTGCCATCTGAATTTTCTAATCTCTCCCATGATGATTAAATTTCATTATTTCCCATGGAGCTTATATGTTGTAGAAGGGATAGAGTTTCAACCATTACAGTAATAACAATAATAAACCAATTCAGTGCTCCTTGGCGAATGGCACTTCAAAGATATGTTCAAAGTCAAGTGTACTACAGCACTTGTTCACTGCAAAGCCAGCCAGGAGTTGTGGGACTTTCCACTACACCTGGTGCGGCACCCAGCCAGTTACTCTGCGAGGTCAGAGGCTGTGCAGCAGCTCAGTCCTTCCACCACATCCGCCCTCATGCTCACCCTCACCAGAGAGCCTGAGGATGGATGGAAATTATTTTGGTGGCTTCCAGAGATGAGCATTTGTATCATTTGAAAACGGTGTTGCAGAAGATACAGGAAGAGCCCATGATAATGTTTGGATGAAAGAGCTGCAATGCTGATGTGTCTTTTCAAGAAAAACCTGGTATTTGGTCAGGGTATTTTTTTTTTTTCTGTAATGGGACAACTGGGGGTGTTTATCTGTCTTCTGACGTAACTATTTCAGACTTTATTTCTTCAATTGTATTTGCTTTTAGCATCAGTGAATGAAAACCATGAAATATACATGAAGGATTCTGTGTCTGCTGCAGAGGTTGGTACTGGCCAGTACGCGACAACAAAGGGCATCTCTCAGACCAACTTGATCACCACCGTGACGCCGGAAAAAAAGGCCGAGGAGGAGCATGACGAGGACGAGGACAGACGGAAAAAGGCAGCAGAAGCCACGCCTGTCACAGCGGCACGGCCCGAGGGAAAGGTACATCTCCCAGGCTGCCTCCCAGAGCTTGCTCACACTTTTAAGAACTACCAAATGGTTCTGAGGGTATGATCTAGAAATGTGCTTAGACTTAGGATAACTCCTATTTCAGCAGTAGTCACATGTTGTCAGTTTTTTAAGTGTTTCCTGTGTCCACATCTCTAAAGATTCCTCCTTAACTTTCTGAAAATATTTTTAACAACTGATGTGCTATGTAAGACTTTCAACAGCTGTCCTGTCTATGTTTCTTAAAACTACATTTGGTATCCTAGTACACTTTTCCGTTTGAGCACACATTTCAGAACTGAAAGCTATTTTCTTTGTTTCTGGCCCCATTCTCCTACCCAACTACTGTATATTTTTGTGGATGTAATGGTAGTTGTATTGTCATTCTTCTGACTGCAACGAACAGAGTGACCATAGCCTGCATATACACTGTTTCCTCTCTTAGTCGTCTGATTACAATTTAATCAAGGTAGTGCATGGACGTGTTTTGAAGAGGTTATTAATGCAGAAAGTTGCAAGGGAAGGCAGACATTGAATTTGGCAGCAATTTCTTAAAGCTGTTTTATTCATTTAATTGTGTAACTTCATTTCACCCAAAATTCAATTTATTCTTTAACATGTTTATTTCTGGTGATTCAGTACTATAGAGCAAATTTTCTGAAAAATAAAAGTCAGAAAACACCTTGAGAGATTTCTGCATAATAATAATGGGGAAAACAGAGTGGCTATTAGAATGTACAAAGTGAAAGGAAATAGAATAAAAATGCTGGGGAATTTACAGGTTATGCTAAAACTTATGTAAATTTGATGCAAAATTGTTCTTTTGCATGTGGGCTCTTCAAATATAGATTTATGTGGTAGAGACTTCCCTGGAGCTCTATGGGAAAGTGCTTCTTTTGACAAGAGTTTAACAGTGGCATCTACACAGATAGATCAACAAATATAGTTATGTAAGACTATTCTAAGTGACCCAATACATAATTTTCTTTTAGGATAAGATCATTTATTTGCCAAACAAAAATAAAAACAGGATAGGAAATGACACCAAGGATATTTGGATCACTTTTGCCGTTAAAATGTGCTTTGTTCTGAATTCTGTTTTTACACTTCTTTTTCAGTTAAGTCAAAGCAGGTTTTAAGTAGGTTTTAAATAGGAATGAGCAATAATGTACCTGAACAGCAAATGTGTTCCATGAGTTCTTGAAATCACCCATGCCAACATATGATCCTCAGGGATGTGTAACTATATGATCATATTTATCACATGGCAGATAAGGGTATATATGACTTTCAGTTTGCTCCAAAAGCAGATCCAGGTAATCTCACTTTGATTTTAAAAGACCACCAATTTGTTTATATAAAATATAGTACTAAGCTGTTACTTTTGACATTTATGACATGGGAAAATAAAAAGACAAAGAAAACCATGACTATCATAGTTTGAGTCTCTGAGAAGCCAGCACTTTGACGCAGATGCCTTCAGAAAGGCTGTGGCCCAGACCTGGCTTTGTCTTCACTTCCCACAGGACAAAGTTATCTTTTAAAAACCACCTTAATAGGTAGCATTGAAGATTAAACCTTTATTTTATTCTTCTCTACCTTCAAAAAGTAACATAGAGGGTATTCATTTTTTAACCAAAATGAAAATGTATTACTGGAAATAATTCTTAGAAGACTGGGCCCTAGATGCCTTTGAGAAGAGGCATGTGTCCCAGGCTAATGGTCACTCCAGGTGATTGACAGCCTTCTGACACTGAGGGAATGACTGTGTGCATGCAGAAGTCAGCTTGTAACTTTTCCAGTATTCTCAGTTAAATGGGATTTGTGCAGGGTCTTGTTTAAAACCCAATGTTTAGTGTCATTGGGACATGACATATTTGTACTGGGAAAAGACACACTTGTCTAATACTAAAAAACAGACACTTCTAAATTCTCATATACCAGTGATATAATTTTATTTGTGCATTTTCTTACCCTCTATGTCTGTATTTACCATGTCAGGACTGGATAAACACCACAAAGCAGGCTGGGTAATTTCCATGCCATCAGATCAGTAGGCAAAACACTCGTCAGTGTGCACATGCACGGTCTGTTACAGAGAACAGCGAATGTCTAATTATCTCCAGGCTCCGTGTGACCTTGTCTTGAACTCCCCGGGCTGTAGCAGCTTCTGTGCGGTGTCCAGGTCCTGTTTGGGCTTTGCTTGCTTTCCTTCTTCCCCTCCTGCTCAGCAGCCCTCCACCACCTGCAGAGGAAACTGGCTGTGCTCCTTGAGACTGCCAAGGCCAGAGAATGTAAAGAGCTGCTTTCCCTGCAGAAGCCTGAACTCACCAGGGAGCACTTTTGTGGGGATGCCTGCCTGTATTCTTTCTGTTAAGGACTCAGACCAAGGGACTTAAACATACAGTTTACCTGCTAAGAAAAATCAGAAGCTGGGAAATCGTATCTTTCTATTGTTTATGGACCACAAATACTAAGTGAACGATTATAAGCCGTACTACAAGAAAATGCATTATTTTTGTTAGTTAGCATGTCGAAACCACTTGAATTTAAATTCTGTTTACAACTTGGATAAAGGAGCCAAAACAAGAGTTTTCAAAGAAACTTCAATTCTCTGTCCAAAGTCCAAGTTCCTAAAAGGCTAATTGTTGAATTCTTTAATCAGAACCACTGATCGATTAGCTAGGAGTGGGGCCAGAAACTTCCTAATTTAGAAACCCCGCTGCTTAAATGTAATTGACCAAGCAAGGAAAGGTAATGTGAGAGGTTTTTTTTTTTAATAATGACAATTTGGATTTGTTTTCACTTTTTAATCCAACTGAACTGTATAGTAACAGATCTGTTACCTGGAGATCAGGAGAAGTTATTGAAAGTCTTGACTGTAAGATATCAGAGAATTACATTTGTTCTCCAAGCCCTGAAATTTCCTAGAGTTGTTGTTCTAAACACAATTTTTGGGTCATGTGAAACATGTAGACTGAGATCGCTCACCAAATAGTTTCTGTTCTGACTTACAAAGCCCACATTCTCTGTGATGGTCTAAGGGGGAAATGGTAGCCCTTCATAGTGTTGGCATGCAGCTTGAATACTTGAAATACATGAACAGCCCTAGTACTAAAATTCTTGTTTTACAATTTTATATTGATGCCCATAAGAAAATTAACTAATTGCAGTTTTCTTTTTGTCCCTTTGCACCTCTGTTTGCTGCTTTCTGTCTCTCTCTGACTCTTCCACATCAGTCACCTTGGCTTGGCACTGACTCATGTCCCCCGTCACCCCCATCAGCCCATTGTCCCCCTGCACTGCCCACAGAGCTCCGTAGGAGGTGTAAGGAGAATGACCACCACCCTCTGGGTGTTGAGCTGTCCAAAGGCACTGGGCACTTGCGTGGGGAGTCCACACTGGACTCGGATGGCAAAGGAAAGCCCTTCCTGGGAGACCAAGATGTGACATTTAGCTACAAACAGCCAACTGGCAAAGGGACAACCCTGTTTTCCTTCTCCTTGCAGCTCCCTGAGTCATTCCCTTCTCTTCTAGATGATGATGGGTACCTCTCTTTCCCTAACCTATCGGAAACCAGCCTCCTCCCCCAGAGCTTGCAGCATTACCTCCCAATTCGCTCACCCTCGCTCGTGCCCTGTTTCCTCTTCATCTTTTTCTTTCTGCTCTCCGCCTCCTTCTCAGTGCCATATGCCCTCACTCTCTCCTTCCCTCTGGCTCTGTGCCTCTGCTACCTGGAGCCCAAGGCGGCCTCCTTGAGTGCCTCACTAGACAATGACCCGAGTGACAGTTCAGAGGAAGAGGTGTGTACCTCGGCATAGAGCACACTCCCCTGTCGTGTTTGGGGCTTCGGTCCGAAACAGTGCTAGACGCCTACTGCCATAGTGGTCCTACTTTCAGAGCCTCATTTATTGTCTGTGCCAATATGTGAAGAGGTTTTTGTGTGTTGGGGAGTATAACCCGGCCCCAGGGTTAGGCACAACACCATGTGGACGTAGCAGTGTGCACCCAGCCTGGAATCATTCTGCTACCCACGGAATTCTATGGCTGGTAAAGGACTCAGCCAGAAGCCAATTTTGAGTGGCCTGCTAGCTATGTAAACAAGTCATGGTTCAGTTAAAGGTTCTGTTCAGTTACTTTTTAATAAAGTAAATTACACACAATGTACACAAACAACTTTTGACTAGATTTATGGAGCATTGCCAAAATGTCTCCTGAAAAAATGATGTGAAGTGGTGGCACCTGTAGGTAAATGATATTCAGGGTGAGGTGGGAAGGAACACTGCCAGAGGGATGTATCTGCACCATCTGTGCAGCTCCCCCCAACTGGAAAGGCCTCTCCTCCCTGGAGATTCCAGCACATCCCCAGTGTTCTCCTCTGTGGTTCCCCAGCAGTAGCAACCATTGCTGTTACTCCTGGAGCTGAGGCAGACTCCCTGGGTGCTGGGACAGAAAGCATGTTTGCTGTCATGATGTCTGCATGAGAGCAGTCACAGTGGGGCCACAGACAGGAGCAGAGAGAACTGCAGGTTTCAAACCCTGTGGGGAAGACTCATTAAGGTTTCTAGGCATTGTCAAAATGAGCTGAAATTTCATCAGTACCAGCAACATTAATGCATATATTGGACAGCCGTAAGTCTTTCAACTCCAGCATAAGCCAAAATCCACACACATATGGACAGTCTAGTAAGGTCAGGGAAGTTGTATAGGCCTCTGTGGCGCTCAGCCAGGCACCTATTTAGTATGGAAAAGACTTGAACCTTCAGTCCCTGTCCATGAAGGCATGCCAGCTATCAGTCTTCCAGCCTTCATGTGAGTCATTGGTTTAGTTGGCATTGCAGCCAGTAGCTTGTCCTTTTAGTTGCTCTCCTTTCCCACTCCACAGCTCTGTGAACAGCCCAGCAGTTCCCTTTCCACAGGCTTCAAATAGATGCAGAGAAAAAGAACAGAAGCTGCCAATGGAGGCACCTGGCTGTCACCTCCCTCCTGCACACACCTTCCCCAGGCCCCTCCAGCTCTTCTGTTTCCATGAAACAAGGGTTTTTGTGGAAGGAGACAAGCCCAATACTCCTAGCATTAGGGAAAAAAAATCACAGAGTCAAAGAAACACTAAAAAAAGAAAAGAAACTATATTTAGATCTAAGCTCAGCTAGAAATCATAATTTGAGCTGCACCTATGAATATATGGAATAGCAAAGGTAAATACCTATATTTAGTGACATTATGACCATTTCTTTGCAGCAGAAGGAAAAAAAATTGGAATGGTCTCACAGATGTTTTAAATAAAAGTTTAAGCTTTTCAATTTGATGTTACATTAGAGCCCTTTTTCAAGGTTCTTGGATCATATATGACTTGCTGCAACTACATATATATATATTTTAAAAACTATTCTCATACAAGGAAAATATTTGAAGAGAAAACTACTTTAAATCCAAGGCTTTAAAATCACTATTTCTCACAGTGGCACTATTATCAAATAACACAGGACTAGAATATACAACATTAAGAACATGATATTATTTATAAAGACTGTAATATCTGGTTTCCAACCTGGACATATATATTTCCTTTAGCAGTGGAGTTAGCCGTCAAGCTAACAAAGCAGAAAGATTGCTGTTTCATGCTTTTCTGAATTCTAAATAACTGAACTTTTATGTAGCAGACCACACAGATCTTGTGCCTAATCCAGGGTATACATCTTGTTGTAATCAGTGCATGAGAATTAATGTTAAACTTGGGCATGTCTGCATTACATCAGCAAAACAAATCACAGCAGTTATACTCATTGCAAGCTAGCAAGCATGTGACTGGAGCCTCCCAGTCGTAGCTCTCTTTTTCTTGTAAATCTTTGGGACTATGACCCAGCACTGACTCCTGCAGCCTTCTCAACCCTCCTCCCCAGGCCCCCCACCCATGCCCGCTCTCCTGACACTAGACTCCATTTTTGGCCATCTGTTCCATGTCCTCCCTTAACCCCAAGTGTGAAGAGCTGCGCACTCTAGTTCACGGGACTCATATGTAGGTCATTCAATTAAAAAAGAAAATTGCCATTTGTTTACATGGCCTGTTTTACTCTCTGGGCCTCAAGTACTTTGGCAGCTAAAGTGGGTGACTTTGCAACATACAGTTCAGCTCTGTCACTTTTGTTTTGCAAAACCCCTAATGACTATAATTCTTCTAAAATATTTTCTCACCACTGCTTACATTTTTCATGTGTTATAGTGGCTTAATTAGTTTCAGCCTTTCTCAAGAGTGAAACCCAGTGTAGAAAGGCTTACTCATTTCAAACTATAAAGCTGCTGGCCAATCTTTTCTTTTTCCTTTTGTACTTTCAGAATGCCCAAATAAGGGGCAGAATATTAAAACACCTGTCAGGAAACAGATGAATTTGGCTCATCATACCATAGGATATAATTATATGTCAGTTTGTAAGGAATTTTTTGATAATACAAAAAAAGAGATAGGTTCAAATCTGGAGGAAAAAATTAATTGGTCATCTGATTTCAACATTTTAAATTGTGTAAACATAGAATTATAGTTTTGTAGTTTTGTTTAGTTATAGTATATTATAAAAGCTGCTTTATTCAGCCTTTATTACTTCTTTTTTTTTTTTTTTGGAAGGGGATCTCTCATATTTATTGATCAAATGGTTGTTAACAACAATAAAATTCTGTACAGGGGACTCAATGCACAATCATTAATCCACCCCAAGCCTAATTCTCATCAGTCTCTGATCTTCTGAAGCACAACGAACAAGTTCTTACATGGTGAACAAATTCTTACATATATTACTTCATTTTTTAACTATTTATTGATCAGACACTCTGTTGGTTGAATGACTAGTACTAAGTAGGAATTTAAAGGAGTTTAGATATGGCCCAAGCTACTTGCTTGTGTATAGCTAAGAAAATTACTAGTAGTCATGATTATGTGATACTATAATACTAATATGTAATAATATTATATATGTAATACTAATATGTCATACTAACATGTAATATATTAACATCAGTATTTTACAATTATTATAGGCATTTTTAACTGTGTGTGTCAGGAATTGTTTAAAGCACTTAGTATCCACTACCTGATACAGTTAGGGCTGTTATTTTCCCCATTTTACTAGAAGAAAATTGGGATTAAAGTATGAAATGTGTCTGGTGTGTCACAGATTTAAATACCAAGGATTTGAGCTCATGTCAGTCTGACATCAGACCCCTCACCCAACCATGATTATGACCCAAAGCTAAGATGCTTGGAAAGTTGCTGAAGTAAATTTTAAAGCCATGAGGGAAATTTCAAGGACCTTTGAAGTGTCCGACACAACTAGCTAGCACACTAGGCACAAGTCATTCTGGTTTGTTCTTGGAAGACTAAGGTGTCTCTGAGTCATTCTGCTCTCCTCTCTTCCTTGGTCACGCTGGCCTTGCCGTAGGCTGTCAGCTGGTGAAACCATACTAATGCCATAGCAACAGTCACCCTTGGAAAAAACTAATAGCCACCCCCAGGTGTTGCCAAGGTGGTCAGGTCATGAAAATGTGTCAGCATGCTGTCTTTACCAACCAATTGAAAATTATTTCCCACTGAAGCATGGTAGCAAGGTTACCAGAATGGCGACCTCAGGGGCACATGCCAAGCATGAATTTGAGTTCCTTTTCTTTTAGGAATGTATAAAACAAAAGTTTGTCATAGTGCCCAAAAATCAGCCTACCCAGAATTACATTGAATGAACATCACTATCCCAGTCATATGCTTCTTGACATTCCTGGGTCTTTGGAGTGAAAGATTATTCTAAGAGACAGGTGCATAATCTTACAGCCCCCAGTTTTGATTTTTGTTTTCCAGATGGTAATCACACATCTTTGCTCAAGAGGATTTTATTAATGAGTATTTGCCATTTGCAAAGGGAAAGTCAGCTAATATTATATTAGGGCATTTGGATGTCCCATTTTCAGTGGCTATGGCTCTACTCCAGAAAAAAACTGTTTTGTTTTAAATCATAAACCTCCATGAAACAGATCAAAAACCAGTCCTGAAATTACTACTGTAGTTCTCCCTTGAAAACTAGGCTCTGTCAAATGCTGTGCTTTGTTTTATGTGTTTCCAACCAGATGTCTCACTCCTTCTTTTTTTAATTGTTACTTTAATTTGCTTCATTTGAATGGTTTTTTTGGAAAAAGATGTTCAAATATGTACTTTGATATACCTCTTTATATTGGAGGGTGGGACGAAATAAATGCAACATAGTATCTTTAAAAAGTGTAGTTAGTAATGCTACTTGAAAACTGAGATGCATTTTCACGTATAAAATGTATGCCTGTGAGTCACTGGCATGTGCTTTCTATAATTAATAGGTAATGCAGACAGCCTGATGGCCATAAATTCCCAGAATGGTATAAATGAGGGGCTGAAAGTCCAGTGACTGTTAAGAGTCGCTTTTTATTTAAATTTACATTTTAATTGACCTTTCAAATGTGACATATTACTAGAATAAAAACATTTATAAACATCAACTTTATTTGCATTGAACATTTTTAGATCTTTCTCAGGGTTTTAGTTTGAAAGGGGTGGGGAAAGAATGATGATTTGATTTTCCTGAGACTTGAAACCAGACAAGTCAGCCTGGCTGAGGCAGGTCTGCGGTTCCCATGGGCTGTGTGCCACTGGTCGTCCTCTGAGTGGTTCTGCTAGTGGAACGTAGCTCTGGCCTTTCTTGTGCTTTGGCTTGAACCTGCATTCTTGTGGGAAGGTGGTGCGGTACAGGGTCACAGAAACAGAGTGCGAACTGTTGGCCTGTGCCATGCCCTGATTGACCAGATGGGTTTGTTTTCTATTCCTGCCTTCCTCCTGGAACCTGATCACTTCTATTATCAATAGACGGACAGTGAACGCACGGACACTGCAGCTGACGGGGAAACCACTGCCACTGAGGTTGGTATAATAACCGGGGTGGCTGGGAAAATGCCTTGTAGGGTGGCTCTGCAGGGAGGAATTTGGTCTTTTTGCTTTTAGAGTGGAGATAAATGCTAACTTAACAGTAGCAGTTTAATAGATTCTCTTGCCTAGATCAATGGTTCTCAGATTCTGGCCTCCATCAGAACCATTTGGAAGGTTTCATCCTCATGTTCCTCATTCAGAAGAAGGTCCGGGGTGGGACTTGAGAATTTACATTTCTGACAAGCTCCCAGGTGATGTTTACTATGTCAACTTCAGGATCACATTTTGAGAACCCTTGGCTAAACTGTTAATTTTTTTAACTATTAATTTTTTTAATGTTAATTTTTGTAACTGTTAACTTTTTTTCTCCCCTACCCCAAATGAGGGGCCATTTATGTATGACAGCCATGATGAGTGGTGAGGAGGCTCACAAATAATTTTAATCAGTTTATTAGTGGGCACAGATGTATTTTTACATCCCAAATGGTCAAATAATAATTATTAAAATAAGACAACTTCTTTTAATTCATTTTTGTAGACAGAATATAGCTAGGTCACTCAAAAGAAGTGAATTTTCTAAGGAAGATAAAATTAGTAAATTACTGTTAATTAATAAATTACTGTTAGTACTTTGTTGAAAAAAATGTGATCACATTGAATAGTGATAGGAAAGATACTATGCTACTACTTACCCTTTATTCTTTAGGATACATTAAATAGGTATTTCAAATATTTTCTATCAGTAACTAATTACAATTTCTGTGAAAGCAATATTTATAGTAATAGAAGTCAAGATGTTTATTTCCTGAAGTTCTAGCAGGATTTTTTTATTTTGTGATAATGTTTGCTGTAGGTTGTTTTTTACATCATCTAATCATACAATGTTTTCCAGTTGGATATTTAGAAAGAACTAAAAACATTTTATATAGTATCTATACATCACTTAATTAAAACATCTTCAGAAAAACATTCCAAAATAGAGTTTTATTAAGTTTCATCCTTTGAAAATGCCAGAATTCAATCTGAAGCTTGGAGATCACAAATTTTTTTAAGTTAAAAATACTGTAAAACTAGATTCTTTTAGGCAAGCAATCACATATAAATTTGTTAAAAGTTTTAATAATTTTCTATGCCACATATAACAAAATTACATCTTGATTTTGCAAGAATTATTAGTTACATGTAGCTACATATTCATACATTTAGTAAAATAAAGTTAATTGTAATCCTAGTGTGCTATAAATGAAAAGTATTTTAATAGTAATACTCTAAATTTCTGTAACAGTTTTAAAATTTGGTATACAACATTTGACGCATACAAATGAATACAGGTAACATTGGTAGATTGTGAAGCTTAAAAATAACATGAAAAGCTTTGAATTGAGAATGAGCATGTCACCAGCACTGCACTTTTTAAACACTTCCCCTCTCTTCTCTCAGGAGCCAGCGCAACAGTAGTGAAGGGTGGGACAAGCTGGGTAGGCAGTTTTGTCCCCCATGGGCAGATATGGAAACTGAGACCCAGATAGATTTGTTGAAGACCTCTTGCTCAGGCATCACCCTTGTCTGATCTGTAATTTCACTCTGGACCTCTTGCAGCTCAGGCATAAATCCCAGGCCCTGGGTCAGAGTGCCACAGTGAGGAACACAGCATTGCTGCTGCACACACAAGTGGCTTGGCTAATCATCTGGTTATTGGTACTCAGATGCCAGTTCAAGGATTAGACAAATCCTTAAATTAGAAAAATAAGGTTAATGAAGTGGCTTTTACATAAATTTGTTATATTTTTCATGAACTCAAAAATTATCATGTCTACATTTGAAAGAAATGGTGGTAATGTTGATGGCAGTTGATTCCTTTTCTTTTTTTTTTTTTCAAACTTCCTTACTGGCTCCATATCAGCTTTCTCCCTTCTCAAATTTGTTTTTAAGTATATGGGTTCAAATTCAGGGTTCCAAGAAATTTTTAAATATGGAAACCTCTGTGTTAACTTCTTTGTTTCTCGATTCTCTACTAACACATTAGGGATAATAATAGCTAATCTCATGGAATCATTGTGAAGATTTGTACATTCTAAGGGAGCTCTCATTACTGGGTCCTCATAGCCATTCTTGTGATTTTTCATTTCAGTGTGTCTCCCCACACTTCCCGAACCATTTCTAATGTTTCATTAAGGATAGGCCACCAAGCCCTCACTGTCACCTCCCATGCATATGTGTGCTCTTGTCACAGTAGGAAGTCTCCAGGTCAAAGTGTAAAAGACCCACTGACCAGGAAGTCTTTTATTCCTGTGTTCTTATTAAGCCTCATAATTTGTGTGTGAGAATGTTGTGGTTTGCATACAGGAAAGAAATGGCATCCATGTACAAGAGCAACCCTGTGTCCCCTTTTTGCAAGTTTATATAGTTCTTCTATCTTAGAGTCAATTGCATGGTAAGACTTTATTTCCCACTCTCTCTTGATGCTGGCAGTCGGACCAGGAGGAAGATGCAGAGCTCAAGGCACAGGTAGAAAATGAAAAATGAAAAAAGCAAAAACCAGTATGTGATAAGTGTTTGTTCATCTATGGTGTTCAAATCTTCCAGCATGCTCCATAGCTGGTTACCGTGTTGTTGGGACAGTGTAGAGGATGGCATTTGTTCCCATAACTACCATATCCCTTACCTTTCCCTTTCTTTTCCACTTTTTTCAGAATAGTCTGATTAAGCGAATAAAGGGTGAAAATGTGTATGTCAAACATAGTAATCTTATGTTAGAGGTTGGTATTGGTATATACCAGTGCATGTTCGTGTGTGTCTGTTTTCTTTTAGTGGCATCCCCATGGGCTTGTGCCATGCTGCATGAACTGTGTGCTCTGACCTGAATAAGTGGGGGTGTTTCTCAGCTTACTCAGATTCCTTCCTCTCTTAAATGTAGATCCTTTTCCTTATGTGTGTATTTATTTTAATTCTCTCTGTTGACATGTGTATTACACTTTTTGCAATTTACCTTATAAAATTCTTTTGATTTTGATGCTTGCGTGAACTAGATTTGTTTCTCCTGTCTTTTCCTGGGAAATATCACATTTTCACCAGAGTGTCTGTGGTAGTGCCATGAACCCTGGTCGAAATTATTTTATTTTGACTACTAATGAGATTGATATTACTTTAAATAGAGAGAGAGAGAGAGCAGAAATGAAAACAAGTATAAAACGTTGACTGTTGGATTCTTTATGTTTTGAATCTAGGAGCTAGATAAAACTCAAGATGACCTGATGAAACATCAAACCAATATTAGTGAGCTGAAAAGAACCTTTCTGGAAACCTCCACAGACACTGCCATCATGAATGAATGGGAAAAGAGGCTCTCTACCTCCCCGGTGCGACTAGCCACCAGGCAGGAGGACGCTCCCATGATTGAACCACTGGTACCTGAGGAGGTTGGTATTCAGGTATTTGCTTTGGGTCATAATTGTCTTCTGTTGATGACTAGCCTCGCTTCTCTGCAGGGAAGGGATTTGGCAAGCTCCTGAGTAGAGAATTTCACTGCTTGTCTGTGTATAACCTGAACTGACCTACTCAGTGCTCCAAAGAAAAGCTATGAAGTCAAATGATTAGGTAGCTCAGGAGTGAGTAATTGCACCAGATGGTAGTTAGAGTGAACCAGGAACCACGGGGAAGCATAGTGTCAATCCGCTTATTATAACCATAGACCTAGATTTCACGGCTGGGAGAAATTGAAATGCTATCGTAATAAACTGACACTTTTTCTGAATATTCTGCTTCTGCCAACTTAAGGAAATGCCCTAAAATTCATGAATGTCTCTCATCAATTGCAAGACGAGTCCTGTTGAGATTGTCTTGAAGTTTGACTGAGTGGCATCATCTTGCTTTCTCTGTCTTTCAAAGGAAGTAATTTTTAAAAACTGAATCTTTCTAGCATCGTATTGATCAACTTCTTTCTTACCAAGTCTCTTTTGTTGTAAGATATTTGTTCAGGAAGCTGAAACACAGAAGCTGAGAACAGAAGAAAAGTAAAACTGAACACCTTTATGGGAGAAAAATCCTTTTAAAAAAGACCCGTTAAGTCATATAAAAAAAAAACCCTTAAGAATCCATAGTCTATATGCAATGCTTAGGTCCTTGCAGTGAAAAGAATATAATTATGCTCATGTGCTCATTTTCTAAAGTTCCTGTGAAAGCTGTTTGTCAAAAGTGACCACAGTCACTAACTAATCCCTATTAAACAGTGACAAGGTGTATATCCACTTGAATTACTTTGAAAAGGGCCCTTTTATGCAGAATCAGTGAAAAGCATGGTTACCAAAGTCTTCTTATACCATTAAACACCAGTTTCATTTAGATTACTTGAGTTTCAAGGTAGAGAAATTTCACATGTGGTTGATTTAAACATTGTAGCCCCTGCATTATTAAGAATACCACTTGTGATGATGGCAAAATCTTACTGTACTTGGTCAGGTTTGGCTTACCAGATTTCTACTCTCTCTGTTGCAAATAAGGAAGAATGTGCTGGCTCTGAAAATGGCAGATACTGGATTAAGTTACAGAAATACCACATAAATGGCCACCTAAAGCAAAACAAAACAAATAAGCCAAACCTCTCTTCCCAGTCTTAGTCAGGGAAATGGTAGGTGGCAGCCACTTTGAGTGGGAGTGAAGTAGTTGCTTGGAGAAGTTCAAGGGTGGTGCTAATAAACTGGGGACGTTAAGAGTCCAAGATGAAAAATGAGTAAAAAATGGTTATTCACTTAGTAAATCCTCTGAGAGAATGACATTGATGAACCCAAAGAACATTAATAACTTAAAGAGGTGATCCTTTGACTATAGTGAACTTCCAGATGTCAATGCCTTCTGTGTGAGTGCAGAGAAATTGCAGTGAGCCCACGAAAAGAATGTTAAATGATTAAAGGATGGTGACCTGTCCTCTGCAGAAGAGCACAGCACAACAGTTTAGTCATGTTGCTGGGGAAGACCAAACAAAGGCTGGCTTAGTAACTGCCCTCAAGTGTCTGCTAAATCGTGCTGGAGATGCAGTACCTTTATGCTCTTCCACCACAATGAAAAGAGGAAATTGTAGAAACACTTGGCTAAATGTAAAGACCTTAAAAGCAAGGCTGATTAATGCTGGTGAGTAAAGGTGCTGTAAAAGAGCAGCTCTGAGGAGCTTTGGGTCCCAGAAGGAGAGAGGTCCCTTCTGGGAGGCCAGAGCCCTGCGAGCTCCTGTGGCTTTAGGGCCAGGCCGGGTGACCTTGATTCCTTCCTGCCCTTGTCTTGGTCTTTGATGACATCAAAGTTTATACCCCATTTGAGGGCCCTGGAAGATAATCCTATGAACAACCCAGAAAGTTCTTACGCTCTAAATTCTTGCCAATTTCTATATTAAAACCATGACTTTTGTTACTTGTTTTGTGAAAGCATAAAAAATAATTTTTTCCTACCAACTTGCACATACAAAGCTTATTAATTTATGAACATATTTTATTTTGGAGTTGAGGTATTTTTCTAAGTAAATTACTAATTTGACATCATCCTATTTGTTAATATGCCCCTCTTTAAATTCATTAAATAGTAATTGGTCAATTTAGAAAGAAGTTCAATTATTTCTAAAAGGAGATATTTCATTTTACTTAATTCTTAAAAATGACATCCTAAATAAAGTAATATGGTTTGTGTCATAAAGGTGAGGAAACTTCAATTCAGCACCCAAGCTTAGTTGGATTTTTTGGAAATCTCAGCAATAAAATGTTTTAGAAAAAAATCTGATGATCTCTGATTTTCAGTGTGACCATTGTTTTTGTTTATTTTATCTATGGTGGTTGAATCCTAAGTAAATCTGTTTCTGTAAAATGCTACCAATTTATAAACAAGTAAAAAAAAATGAGGAGTTAGAAATATATTGAATGACCCAGTAGTAGTGATTATATTCTAAGAATATCATCTTGATTATAAAATGGAAATTTCATTGCCAGTGATTTCAAGTTCCAAACATTTGAGTTAATAGCAGGCAGGTAGCAAGCATGCCCCAAAGCAGCAGATAGTATCAAATGCTCATTGACTCTGGAAAATAGACAAACCCATATGCAGGGCCCACCAAACCCCAGAAGGGTAGATGATTGGTATATGAAGTGTTCCAGGTGCATCTTCTGCCCCCAAGTATTTCCCATAACAGCCTTTTATGATGCCCATGGGCCAAGGCTGTATTTGAGTTATAGTCCCCCATGGTTACTTAAAAATTAAAGGTTTGCAAATCCCAACCAAAATGCAATACCCATTGCCACTTACACAGTACCATTATCATCCTCTTTTTCATGTGGGGGGTAGTTTTACAGGTATGTAAGCTGAGTGCAATTGATCCTCCTTATTTGCAGATTCCATGTTTGCAGAATCACCTGCTCACTAAAATGTAAGTCTAAAGTCGATATGAACAGAGCTTTTCCAGTCATTAGCAGACAGGCGCAGAGTGGTGAAAACTTGAGTCCTCTGTGCACACACTCCCAGCTCAGGTCCAGCCAGGTAGTGTTCTGCCTTCCTGTTTCAGCTCCCATATTGTAAGGAGGTGTCCTTTTTACAGCCTGTTTAGTGCCACATTTTTGCTTTTTGTGTTTTTGTTGTTGATGACGCTGCTGTTTAAAATAACCCCCGAGCAGAGTATCAACGTGCTATTCAGGGTCCCTACGTGCAAGAGGGCTGTGGTGTGCCTTACGGGAAAACACATAGGTTAGATAAGTATTTATCAGGAAGAAGTCACAGTGCTGTTGCTGTGCATTTGATATTAATGATCAATGATGTATATTAAGGGGTCTTTGAAAAGAAACACATATAAAACAAGGTTATGTATTGATCAGCTGCTGACAGTGTCATAACTGGAGGTTCACAGGAACTTTAACCCTCTATTTCCCCAGGAGCCGTGGGTCAGTATTCACTAACTCATCACTCATGGCAATTTTATAGAGCATAATTATGAATAACTGGGATTGACTGTTTGTGCACTGATCTGCTCTCTGGTCCAGCTCTGTTTTTGCCACTCGAGTCTTGCATTGGCCTCCAATTGGGCAAAAAACCCACTCATCATAGATCATCTATTTTGGATAGGAAGGATTATCTCTATTCCCTTAATCTGCCTTCTGTGACTTTCCATCCGGGCCTTTGGATGCACCTCTTGGTACTTATTGAAATCACCTATGGGAGATTTCTAAATACTAACACCTGGGTTCTACATCTGAGTCTGAGTTAATTAGTCTGGGGTGTACCCCACACATTACTATTATTTAAAGCTCTCCATATAATTCTAATGCGTAGCCTATTTTGAGAACCTCCAGCCCAGACAGAAATGAGAATCACAGCTCTGTGGAAACACTTAATCACCCAAGAGTGAGTAACATCTCTGAATTTTGCATGCCAGAGTAAGGCTTTGTTTCCCAATTATGATGTAAAGATGAATGTTTAAATAACTAAGCAAAATGGTTAGAGTATACATCTGACTCTATTCTAACCTGTAATAAAAGTAAACTTTTCAATTATCAGCTTTTCTTTATCAGTACCTCTTCACTTCTCTTTAGGTGAACTAACTGGATTGGAGTTGACCATATATAGGATTTAATTTTAAAATCTCTCCCCTTATATTACCCTTTTCTGTTATTGGACATACACAGGTCTCAATGAAGACAGATGGTGTTGACATTTTCAATTACAGACACAGACATTTTTAAAATTAGTTGATGTCAGATAACAGGATATGCTGAAAACCACTGTTTTCCTACTGTTACTGTTTTTTTAAGCTTTCATCTTAGGAATAATATTTAGCTCAGTGATTATAATTAGCAGCCTAGCAGTGATATTCTGAAAAGTACCCATAATTTTTACCTTACCTTCCTGTTTCTTATTTCTATTTGAAAAAGAGGCCACAATTGAAAAGAAAAAGAAAAAAAGTATACATGTAATCATTCCACATGGTACATTTTGGCTTTTCCAAAATGGGACAGGATGGGGGTTTTCCTTTCCTTCAAAAATGTCTCATTAGTTCCTCATTTAAAAGGAGCCTATGAGAATAATGCTATCAAAATCTGTCAGTAGGTCCTTCAAGAGAATATTCCAGATGCTTCCCTATACCCTTGGGCAGGCAAAAATTAAATGTAGTACTGGTAGATTTGTAGACACGTAGGAATTTTAAATACCTCTCATTAAATTATGTTGTTTACAATAATGGGATCTATTTTAAAAGCTCCATTTTCATAAACTGAACTTTGTTATTTTTTAGATTACTCTTCCAAAATATCCTTTCTGTCATACTTCATGGAGTTGTCCACTGTGCACAGATTGATTTATGCCTTTTTCAATACTAAAGGAGTAGATAAAAGGAAAGAAAAAACTAGTTCCTAACATGACATATTTACTTTAGTTTTTCTTAATTTTATATGATAAAGAAAAGCATAGTTTGAAATAATTTTCCACTAAGATGTTTTGAAATTAACTTTTAAAAATTATTTACCATGTTATAAAAGTTCAAAAACAGCTATAACCTTGAGTATATTTTATGTTTATTTGTGAAATAAGAAAGAAGTCAATCTAGGTATCACCTGGTTTATTCACATTAGTAGTTAAAGCACCTCCCTGTGTATTTTCTTACTCTTTATCAAGCAGCACTTAAATGGGGACTATAAGCAAGTATTTGTCAGAAATAGAAGTGAGGATTTTTTCCTAGCTTAATTTTTTTCATCTTTACATTTTCTTTTAATATTCATTTTTATGGTGTTGCAGCTGACTTGACATGTAGACACTGTTCAAATGCCAAGGAACTCTCTATATTGCTCGTGCATGTTGTGTGCTCATAGAAATGGAAAATGCATTGTACAAACACAAGAATTTTAGAAAGTAACATGTTAACTTTTTGGAAATAATTATGAAACTTTGAGATGGTTTCACACCTTTTTTCAAGTTAGCAAACAGTATTTGGCTTCTTCAGACAAATAAAGTGAATGACTCTAATGTGTATAGCACAGTAAGAGAACTCTCTTCCTAACTTGCCTTTTTGGACACTGTCTACTTCCTCTTCTCCAACCCAACCCCCTTTATTCAAACAGACCAAAGAAGAAAGAGAAATTTCTGACAAAGTTATATTTTTGCAGCAAGGAAGCTCTCCATTCCTTGAGTCTCAGGTAAAAAACAAACATACAGGAATTTTTCCAAAGGGAACTGCTCTTCAGATGTCAGTGTCATTAAAATGTCTTCAGTTTTTATTTTCTTTTTAAAATTTATCTTGTTTTTAAAACTAAGGTAGGTGTATCATTTTTGCTTCTGGGGAGGGGAAAAAAGAATTTTCTCACTATCTTGGTCATTAGTTATCCATCATTCCTTTTGGTCATTAGTTATCCATTATTCCTTTCTGGCCTTGCTCCTTCGTGATTTTATCTGTGTGTGGTCATTGAAGCCTTATGATTATACTTTCTAATAATATTATTAGGACTTTGTACTCTGTGCTTTTACCCATAGGGTGATACTAATTTAGATGACCTTGATTGATTTTGAAAATGCTGAACTTTTATTGGTTTTCCCACTAGCCGAGTGTGATACAGAAAATGCAGGACGGAGACTCTGCGGGCTCTGTGGTTACCTCTCATCAAATAATTTTCCAGAAAACTGTCCCATCAACCGTAGAGGTTATTTTTCAATTCATTTCACTTAATCCAGCACCAGCATGTAGATTAACCTGTAATCCTTTTAAGGCATGCAGATTTCTAGATTGAAGAATGTGTTCAGGCTATTATAAATATGCAGGTAGAAAACATTCTAGTTTAAAGTATAAACCAAGGGGCTCATATGCTTCTGATTTGATTTCTCTTCCCTTTGTAACCTCCTTGATTAATTAGCTGCCTGCTCATATGCTGTTACCCTTCCCAAATATAGAAGTCTCTTAACTTTCATTTCTTTTCCCTTATTGGAACTAACACTAAGGAAAATGGCAAGGAAACTACTCAGACAATGAACTTCAGTTGTAAATAAGATTGGAACACTGTGCAGACTACTATGGCCTATTTATATGCGGCTCCACCAATGTACCAACAGTTTGAAATATTTTATTACAATGCCTTGAACACAGGCATACTTGATATTTACTGGATAATAAGCATTATAGTGGATTCAGGCTCTTGCATATGGAAGTATAATTTACAAACATGGAAAATGATATTCAGATAAATTTGTGGAATTCTGACAAGTTCTTTATGAGAACAGACAGGAAATACAATTTTATATTTAATATGGAAAACAGTCTTTTGGTGTCCACACAAAGCTAAATAACTTGTACAACAACTTCAATAATGTTACTTGATCTTGAAATATAAAATGATCAGAACTTTAGCATAAGATGAAATATATTTCTTGCAAAGTTTACCACAAAAGTGGGTTCCTGTATAAAGAAATCTGAAATTACATCTCTACATGCAGACTGTATTCCAAGTTGAAGGTTAGAGTTTATAAATTTCAGCTGAGAAGAGACTGCAGCCATAGTGACACCAGCAGCCCAGCGCAATCACATCACACACCTGAGTGTAGCTCTCCCCCTGATTTTCTTAAAGAATTCTTATTTTTTAAATGAAGTAGCATCAGATCTTCTAACTTAGCTTTTATATTTCAAATATAGGGCACAGAGGATTGGGTTATTGTAGACAAAATACCCACAGAGGTAGTTGACGGTGATTCGAAAAAGATTGTGACTTACAAGGTGGTGACCGTGAGCAGTAGAACTGGTGACATTCCCTCCGAGCTGTTAAGATCTAGTGTCCTGGAAATGCAGAGCTTCGAAGACTTGGCCCGAGAAATGCAATTAAAAGAAGAAAGCAAACAGAAAATATACACTCTAGGAAAATCGTACGACACCGTTTCAGGAAGAATTGTTACCATGACTGGAAAAACTAAAGAGGGGGAGAAGGTAGGGCCACCCTCGGTGCCGGAAGCTTTTCAGAAAACGGAGGGAGGACCGTGGGAGCCAGTGCAGATCACTGCTGTCCCGGCGGAGTCCGAGGTCCTGGCCGCCACGGCCCACGAAAAACCTAAAAGGGGACCCGAGGCCCACACCCCTAAGCGGAGATTGTCCGAGTCCCTGGCACCCATCAAGGAAGCCGAGTCCCGGCGGCAGAGTCCTGAGGACGAGGACCGCCGGAGAGCCCCAGGCGCCGGGGCCGAGGCCTTGCAAGTGGGCGCCTTCGGGCCCCGGAGGAAGAGCCTGTCGGAGTGGAGATACTCCCCGGAGCCGGTCGCCGCCGCCGCCCATTCCGTTACCGAGTCGGCCGCAGCCCGAGTTGTGGTAACCTGCAGATGCCAGCATGACCTATTTTTGAAGCAGCGCCCTTCCACCCTGAACCTTTCCGTTTCTCTTGCTATTTGGCTTTATGTTGAGAGCAGCCAACCCAAGCTTTTTCTTTTTCTTTTTCTTTTTTTTTTGTGATTTAAATCAGCCCCGCAGCCCAATGTGAGCACTGAAACGTTTGCCATTTGATTCCCCGCGCCAGCCGGAGGGGCCGAGGTACATGCAGCGAAGGGGAAAGTGACCCGCTTAAACCGGCGCTGCCCTGGACCTAATCACTCCCTGTTTTTCCAAACGAGAGCTCAGGGTCACCGCCATTTGCTCTTTTATTTCCCATTCTTTTCTGTTTCCAAAGTCTGTACGGTAGATGCCTTCAACCTGCCACCCTCTTTTCCGCCTCCAACTTAGTCTAAACAGCTGCGAGTGTGTACGCGCCTCCCCACCTGCCTGTCTCTGTGCTTGACTCTCCGTTTCTTTGTTCACTCAGAGTAAACAGTCTTCTGGGGAAAAGCTCATGGACGGCTCCGACATCTTCAGTTTATTAGAGTCTGCAAGAAAACCAACAGAATTCATAGGCGGGGTTGCTTCCACTTCTCAAAGCTGGGTTCAGGTGGCCATTTGCTTCCATGCTTGGTGGTCCTGACTCTGCCGTTTGCCTTTCTTTATATCTTTTTTGGGAGCCTGGGGCTGTGTGTGTGTGTTTTGCAGCCAATTGGCTTTGCCTTAAACACCTCCAAGGTGTCTTCAGTTATTTTCCTTTGTACCTGTGTCCCATTATCTGTCCTATGCCTTTAGTTCCATGACAAGAACATACAATACTCAAAAGGCAATCGTGTTGAGGAATTTCAATAGCATTTAGTTTTTTTAAGCATTTTATGTTGCTGGCTATATCTAAGAAAGCAGCCAAAACAAATGTGAATGTGCTTTGATTTTGTTTTTGCTTTTTAATATTGTGTTTCTACAGCATTTCGCTTCTTTTGCAGATATCCCAAAGCTGGCAGTGCAGGTTTGAGTGTGTATGTGTGTCAGGGCAGGGGTAGGCAACAGAGATTCTGGTGGGTGGAATGAGAACCAATTTATATTTTTTTATATAAATGTTTCTGGTTCTAAGCACTTGAGACTGGCTTTAAGCATCCTGGTGAGTGGCTGCTTTTCTGTTTGTTTTTGACCTTGGTTTATGGAAAGACAGACTGACACCACAATCTTTTTCCATGCAGAAAATGGAAACCAAGACAGAGTCCAGCAAAACAGAGACTGAAACAACCCAGCACCCCCAGCTACTCAGCACTGAGAAGGTTGTGCAGGAAACTGTGTTGGTGGAGGACAGACATGTGATGAATGTGCACGCATGTGGGGATGCTGCTTACGCGGCTGGAGATGACACGGGTGCCACAGCACAGGCAGTGTCTGCTGACACCTCCAGCTTCAAAGGGAAGGAGGGCTCTGCTCTAACCCAGTGGGCTAAAGAGGAAAAGGGGGAGGTGACCCATAAAGCTGTACTCGAACAGGAAGAAATGGCTGTTGTTTCCCATGAGCCAGAGGAAGAGCAGAGTACAACACTCCACGTTTCTGAAACTTTGGAACAAAAACCTCATTTTGAGGTAACTGGTTATTCATGTTACTTTAGCACTAAAATTTACTTTTCTGAGTTTATTTTTCTGCCCTTTCCAAGTGCAGTTGATTTCTCCTTTTTTCCTACTTGCATAGTGATTATGGGCCTCCATGCAGTGTCCGTCTTTGGGGTTACATGCAAACATACGTAGTGATTATTGGCAATCTTTAGTTCCAGGAAATGTTTTCTCTTCTCATTGTAATTATTGTAATTGTCAACAAACCTAAGGAAGGCATGACCAGCCAAGAGAGTAGAAAAGTTGATAAATTTATTTCTGGTCAATATATTTATACAGAAGGACCCAAAACAATACTTTCCCAGGTACCAAATGCTAGAACTTTATTCTCTATCCTCTTGTATTGAGATTCCTGCAGTATGTGTAGGGGTTTATGTCTTATTACTTACTCCTTCTTTCAAAGAAGTTATAAAATATAAAGCCAATTTATGATTTTTCATCTACTAAGATTTGTTTATGAGATAAAGGAGGGGAGATGTAAAAATTGTTCTTTTAAATTTCCTTCAAAATGTTTTCCTTTACCTGGAACATTCTATATAAAAAGTGCTATAGAATTCTGGGAGACTGTTTGACATTTATCTGTTGTGTGTCTTATTCCCCAACTTAACCCCATTAATATGTAAACATTTATTTCCTACTAACCTGTGCTTATGTATATCCATCAAGAGTGGAAGAGGGAAAAAAAAACCCCAAAATTGTGTGTTTGTGCAAACTGTAATAGCCACTGTATCTACTTCCTATTGGTACAGTCATCAACTGTGAAGACAGAAACCATCAGCTTTGGCAGTGTTTCACCAGGAGGAGTAAAGCTAGAAATCTGTACTAAGGAAGTGCCAGTAGTTCACACAGAAACAAAAACCATAACATACGAATCATCCCAGGTAAGACAGGCTATGAAGACCAGGGCCCTGGCATTTCGTTTTACCCCTTTGATGGCTTTGTGCATTTAATTATAGATACATGATATTTAATTCAGCAACCAGACTGTCTCTCCTAAGACTGATATAATAATTGTAATTTTATTACCTATCAAGGAATAGTAGGTGACTTAAGCAGGTCTTCATATATCTCAACATGTAGAGAAAGGCTCAGAAACCTATTTCCCTAGCCATAGATAAGAAAGACTATTAGTTCAACCAATCACTGCTCACATTAAGTTCTAAAGTCCAAGTTTTTTAAGGACAGTTAACTCTGGCTGTGTTTTGTTCAGTATTTTTGCTCATAGTGGCGGCTCCCAGGTGCTGACTGAACAGCACAGGAATTGGGAGAGATAATGAGATGAATGTAATGCTCAGGCTTACAGAGCAAACATCTGAAGGAGTAATGTAAGTAATCTAGTGTGGTGTCTGTTCCTTTGCTTGCTTAGGTTGATCCTGGTGCTGATCTGGAGCCAGGCGTGCTGATGAGCGCACAAACAATCACATCTGAAACCACCAGTACCACGACCACCACCCACATCACCAAGGTGAGTGGAGTGGGAACTGATAAAAGCAAGGCGTTTGCTTAGAACTTCTCCCAGGTTGGGCTGCATGAGAAAATAGTTACATGGCTATCAGGATGCCAGGACAGCCACTAGGAGCTTTCATAACCTCTGGATTTATGGTGCATGTGTCCTCTGCCAGTTTCTGTTGAGGAATGTGCATTCTGATACCCTCTGCTTAACACTTAACGCCAGAGCTTAGCGTATGGTAGGTGTTTCAGAAACACTGGTCAGCCAAACCCAAAGGAATCCATTCTGTCCTTGCTACTGAAGTTAACAATTTTAAATAACTGCCATAGAATTCTGTTTCAATTCTTAAACAATGAATGATATTCCTTAAAACTTTGTTAGCATTTTCTGCCACTTCCCCCATTGAACAAAGATTGTTCCTCCAAGTGGGTAAATTTATAGCACTCCTGTCTTGCTTTCAGACTGTGAAAGGAGGCATTTCAGAGACAAGAATTGAAAAGCGAATTGTCATCACGGGAGATGCGGACATTGACCATGACCAGGTAATGCACATGTGATGGCAGAGAGAACAGAGAAAGACTAGTTGGCCTTGTTACTCCCAATGCTATTCTTCCAGGCCAGCATGTAGTCAAAAAAATTTTCTGAATTAACTTTCCGATAGATAATGTATGATTCCTTTTGCAATCATGGTACCTCGTGTGTAAATTGCATATGTAGATCTAGCTCATAAGTCTCCAGCTTGCTACTGATCTTGCATGTTCCACCTCCTTTTTGTCTTTGCCCTTCTGTGATTTCCTGGGGATAGGCGCTGGCTCAGGCAATTAAAGAGGCCAAAGAGCAGCACCCAGACATGTCAGTGACCAAAGTAGTGGTCCATAAAGAGACAGAAATCACACCGGAAGACGGAGAGGATTGACCCCAGGTAAGAGATGAGGCTGATTCTTGAGGCTCAGCCTCGGCTGGCATGTGGCATGGTACACTTCCCACTCATCCTGCCTTTCCTTTTTTCTCTCACTGGCATTTGTTGAGCTGGTTGCCAAGAGGATGGAGAATTGGCTTGTGGATGCTGATTCATTTCAGATTTGGAGGTTCCATCCTGTGGACTTTTTATGTGCATTGCCAGTTAGAGCATAAAGAAGAGGCAGGGTCTTTGCTCGCTTGGTCCCACTGGTATTCCCTTTTAATCCATGCCCTGTTCTCTTTGCATTATCCAAATTTGAAGGGTCATATTTGATTTCACTTGCTATGTGGCCTAATCAGAACTAAGGCAGTTTTGTTCTGAAAAGTACACTGTATATGTTCCAAATACTAGGGAAATAAAATATACCCCTTTCTCCTTTTCATGGCAACATTATCACATTGTAAACTTTCTCTCCAACTGTGTTTGGTTATAGCGTGTTTATTTTCACTTTGTTTTTTACTTTGAAACCTGAACATCCACTTTCCATTTTGGATGTCTTATGTTTTCCATAGTCTTTGGGACAATTTTTCGCCTTTAATACAGCATTGTGTCTCAGGAAGAGGCAAAAATGCAGACTTATGGTCCTGCTCTACTCCAGAAAATTCATGACTTTCCAGCTGCTGTTGGCCAGCATAAAGAGCAGACAGCCTCTTCTGTGTGTGCACAGCTTGCTATGCATACTCACCTGCCCTGCAAGAACTCACAGGACCCTGAGCATCCCTAGAGGGCTTTGAATGCTGAAAGCAACCCTTGAGCTACTTGCACACTTGGTTATGTGATAAAAGTGTTTTAAATGATTTGCATGTATAAATGAAATAAGATCCCTAATGTTGGTTGAAGGACTATGGATCAATGCGTGGCTTCTCTTAAAGAAAAAAAGGAACATAAAAATCACCCATTATGTTCCAGTGAGTAATGTAATTAGATAGAAAGCAAAAAGAGGTCTTCTTCAGTGAGCTTTAGCCACTTGGGTGATGTGGTCCTTGTTTATGAGAAAGCAAATCAGGGACTTACACTGGTATTTTATGATATCCTGTCAAAAAGAGTATTTAATGCCCTGCACAATACTCTTTTTGTGACCCTGACTTAGGAAAACTTTCAGATGTTTTGAAACAAAAAACTAATGCAGCTCTCTTTTCTACAGGAATAACAGCCTGCACATGAGTCCAGTCATGAGAACCATTAGGAAAACCAGAGCCTATATGGATTTCCCTCTTCTAACCCAACTGACTTACATCTGCCATGGACAATTTCAACCCAGAACCAACCTTGACCATTAATAAAGACATTGGCAGAGAGATTGTCCCGTAATAAAGCAATCTGAATCAGCATCACTAAACTGATACTGCATGAAGCAACAATCAATTACAAAAAAGCAGCATTTTTAATTTTCACAAAATGTCTAAGTTTTCAGCTATTACCTGCACGTTCATAACCAACAATATAAACAGTGATCTCATGTAACACATAAACAATTCATGCCTTTCATAGTTTATTATTATTGAAGCTGAAACAAAATTGCAATTTCTTAGGTGACAGATCTTTTGTTTACAAATAAATGACCACTCCCCTAAAATGCTAGAAGCTGTCTAGGTCCGGTGTGTCGGGTCATCCCAGATTAGCTGTGCCAATAACCGAGTTTATTCAGTAAACGATTTGAATCTTGTACTTGTTTCATCTGATTTTATTACTCTCACCCATAAACAATAATGACTCTCTGATCCTCTGGAAATATTTAATGCTTACAATCCTGCTTTGTGTATCTAATTTAATTCATTATAAGGTAGTACTGAGTTTAGCATATTAATGTGATTTCTTCCTTGTGGTCAGCTTTGGTCTATATTCAATCTGGAAAGCTTCCCAGGGTCCCATAACAAGTCCTAAATATGTAAATTGTCATTATTTTGGGAAGAAAACCTGTATTTTTGTTAGTTTACAAAATTAAGAAATTTCACTCCAGAAAAACCTGCTGGGCTTTTGTTTTCTTTTTTGTTTTGTTTTGTTTTTTCTTCCTCCTTGTATTTTGTAATTGATTATTCTTCTTTTACTTGAAAAACGTGTTTGGTTTCCAAATCTGGTCCATATTTACAATTTAGTTCAGAGCCAAGCCTTAAATTGTACAGAATTTCCATTGTAATTAAACTATTAAGTGTTTAGTTATAAATAGCCTTCAAAAAGATATATTCTCCATTACACTGTCAACTGCATCACACAGCCCATGGTAAATGTATGTTTCTGCATAGAGAAATAAAAATGGTAAATGCATTTAAAACTCCAAACCTCTCTGTGTAATAATTTTAGTATTGTATGTGTTTAGCCCAGAGATAGCATTTGCATGGCATCAAAGGACTTATTCATCTGCATTTAAAAAGCCTGTCTTTTTTACAGGATAAAAAGTATATACAGTTATACAGTGTACAGATTTTTTGAGTTATTGGAGAAGGGGAACAAAATACATACATATAAATGCTTCCCTATGAAGGCCTTAAAAAGTACCACTGATTATCACAGAATCTCATTTTCAAAGTGTTTGTTTTATGTTTTTTTTTTTTTAGTAAGGAGTCTCTGATGTAAACCCAGTGTTTCTGGGTGCTTTTAATCTACCAGAGAGATACTCATATCTCACACATCAGTTCCATAAACAGATTACCCTGTACAGTCCACAAAGGCCCAGGCAGTGTGTTCCCTCAGCTCATATACATCAGCCTCCTTGCATGCCAGGGACTAAGAGTAAATCTGGCATTTCCTACCATGTAATGCTTTATCTAACTTTCTGATTTATTTTAAACTCTAATTTAAAAAAATTTTTTTTCAGAAAATTGTTAGTTTGACCACATATATTGGTCTTATTGAGGAAGTCAAATTCTTATCATTTATCTGTGGAGGAGTTACCTATCAGTTTGTCCTTAACGTCAATACTAAGTATTCATTTTAGGAACTGAAGCATCATTTTAATTGTGTTTAAAGCCAATTGAAAAATGTATTGAGAGAAATTAACATTTTATTGATACGTAACTGTAAGTGGCCTCCTAAGGATGTCTGTCCCCAATCTGCACAGATATCAAGTTGTATCTGTGTTTTCTGTTTTTTTATTTAAATTTTTTATTGTGATATAATTGACATGTAACATTAAATTAGGTTCAGGTGTACAACATAATGAGTCCATACACTGTGAAATGATCACCATAATAATTTAGTTACTATCCATCACCACACATAGTTAGGAAAATGTTTTTTCTTGTGATGGGAACTCTTAAGAACTACTCTTAGCAATTTTCAAATATGCAGCACAGTATTATTAATTATAGTCACCATGCTGTCCATGTTTGCTGTATTAAACCAAACCTAATGTTTTTGTGTTTCTCTATCCTCAGAAAAAAAAAATGCTTGTTCATTTTTAAAAAATTATACATTATCAAGGAAGTTAGACATTTTCAGCTTTCTTTTCCTTCTGTTGTGTTGTTCAGAATGTTTTTGGCCTCTACCCACTGCTATGTAGGAATTAGAAACCCACTCCCACATATTTGGGTATTTCTGACAGCAGTGGCTCATTTCTAGTACCAAAGTTTGTATCTACCATTTATTGCTGCATAATAAATTACCAAAAGGGTAGCAACTTAAAACAATGAACATTTGTTATCTTGACATTTCTGTGGGTGAGGGGTCTGGGCATGGTTGTACTGCGTCCCTCTGTTAGGCTGCAATCCAGGCACTGGCCAGGGCTGGGATCTCACCTGTGGAGACCCACCTGGGGAAGGATCCACTCCCAAGCTGTTCTGGCTGTTGGAAGAATTCATTTTTGTGTGGTTGTAGGACCTTGGCAGCTTCTTTAAAGCCAGCAGTAGAGAAGGAGACTCTGCTTGCAACACACTTTTATATAATACAGCATAATCAAGGGAGTGACTTCCCATCCTTTTTTTTTGCTATATTCTGTTGGTTGGAAGCAAGTCACAGGTTGTGTTCACAGCATCAAAAAATTTTTAAATTTAGATTAGGAGATCAATCAATCCCTATCACTCCCAAATCCAACAGTTTTAAAGCTGGATCCTACTAATGTATAAACAGGCTTAGCTTGCTGCTAAACTCTTAGGTCATGTCAGAACATTTCTTTTAGCTAATACTACTAATACAGAAAACTGTAGCATTGCATTAAGTGTGAAGAAAACCCTTAGATATTACACTTTCAGGACCTGAAGAATTCCACTTCAGTTAGCTATTTGCCTCACAGAAAAGAAACATTTCTCAGTGCTCTCTAAGATTCAGGCTGTTAGAAAACAGGTATTGATGGTTCTGCTATAAACCTAGTGTTGATAAGCAGAAAAAAATTACAAGCCTAAAGATTCTATGGTCCAGCCAAATGGTGACCCACAGCTCCATGCTAACCACACGGGGATCTGCAGAAACATTAGTTATGGAGTCACCAAACCTAAAAAAGCTGCAAGGTACTTTCTCTGGAGTTGGTCAGTTGCTAAGTCGAGATCATTATTAGCCTGCCTTAGGGTAAAATGCTCCCTGCTCTCCATCCATTGGAGCTCAAATGGAGCTAGCCTGGTAGAGAGGCCTCGGATTGTGTGGACACATTCTGCTCCTTCCTCCGTGTTGGGGTGAATGGGTGGAACTGCCTGCTCCAGTGAGAGAAAGGAGGTCAACACTACTAACGTGGGATTTCAGCACCTTCACACCCCCTGAAGAATTTTCCATCCCCTTCTACTCTATATTCCTTCCAAATTTCACAGAACCCTTCTGCTTGGGAGCTTTGAGTTAAATCATGCACGTTGTAGGATTGCTCAGCCCACTTTTTTTTTTAAACAATTACTATAATCCATTTCCTTAATATCTAACTTCTTTCTAGCACATCTGTTATGCTATTTCTTAAGTCAACATCAACTCTGTTCTTAAAAAATTAACATGGAATCTAGAACATGGATCCAAAATTGCTTCTAACTTAAAAATGAGGATTATACATACCCTCTGTTAAATGCATTTTTATTTTTCTTACTGTGGTAAATTAACCAGAGTAAGAAGGGCATGCCTTGGATTGCCAAAGAGGTGCCCTTGTGTTTAAATGTACATTTATTAGGTGTAACATTGGAGTATTCCATTTTTAAGAGATACACTTTGTGGCAGGCCATCATTATACTTAAAATCGTCTTCTCAGACCTGACACTTCATTTTGGCAAATAGTTTATCAGAGCCGATGCCTCTGAGGAAGGGTGACAGAGGCACTAATGCTCCCCAACAAGTGTGGTTACTAATGTGCAGGCATACCCACTCACCCACACAAGAGCCTCTCATGTTTCTTTGAGATAAATGTAATCTCTTAAGAGATTGGCCAGGTTCTTATATTACAAGCCTAAGGGAGAGTTTATTGGCCAAGATAATATGTGGATTTTTAGAGCACCCCATGCAATGAGGAAGAACCAGAATATTTTTGGCTGAACTCATCCTGCTTGACCAATACTGAATTCTAAGTGATCCCTAAAGACAAAAAACGATAAAGAAATGCACATTTTAATGCAGTATTATTTTCCAACAATCATCCAAAATATTTTAATTCTAAGCAAAAACCATAAAGAAAGGAGAAAAAAAAGTGGGAATGAAAGTTGGTAATATAGGATTGCTCAGCCCACTTTTTTTTTTAAACAATTACTATAATCCATTTCCTTAATATCTAACTTCTTTCTAGCACATCTGTTATGCTATTTCTTAAGTCAACATCAACTCTGTTCTTAAAAAATTAACATGGAATCTAGAACATGGATCCAAAATTGCTTCTAACTTAAAAATGAGGATTATACATACCCTCTGTTAAATGCATTTTTATTTTTCTTACTGTGGTAAATTAACCAGAGTAAGAAGGGCATGCCTTGGATTGCCAAAGAGGTGCCCTTGTGTTTAAATGTACATTTATTAGGTGTAACATTGGAGTATTCCATTTTTAAGAGATACACTTTGTGGCAGGCCATCATTATACTTAAAATCGTCTTCTCAGACCTGACACTTCATTTTGGCAAATAGTTTATCAGAGCCGATGCCTCTGAGGAAGGGTGACAGAGGCACTAATGCTCCCCAACAAGTGTGGTTACTAATGTGCAGGCATACCCACTCACCCACACAAGAGCCTCTCATGTTTCTTTGAGATAAATGTAATCTCTTAAGAGATTGGCCAGGTTCTTATATTACAAGCCTAAGGGAGAGTTTATTGGCCAAGATAATATGTGGATTTTTAGAGCACCCCATGCAATGAGGAAGAACCAGAATATTTTTGGCTGAAGTCATCCTGCTTGACCAATACTGAATTCTAAGTGATCCCTAAAGACAAAAAACGATAAAGAAATGCACATTTTAATGCAGTATTATTTTCCAACAATCATCCAAAATATTTTAATTCTAAGCAAAAACCATAAAGAAAGGAGAAAAAAAAGTGGGAATGAAAGTTGGTAATATGAAGTAAGATTGATAAAGAGATATATTCTTAAAATTTTTTACAAACTTTTTAACCCATTGTGGGGTAAAATTGCAATTCTTCCCAGAATCCCTATTGGCCTTTGTCATTTACATATCAATAGATGTAAAGCAAGATGATAGCAACAATTTTCTCTTTCCGAGGGGAGAGCATGTAATGATTTTTTCTTCTTTGTTCTGTTTTTCCAAAGTGTCTCTGAGTTGTCTGTCACCCTAATTGTATATTTTTAAAAACAGTTTATGAAATAATACCAATAATTTTATTTAGGAACAGAGAATAATGGAGAGAGATGTGTAAATGAGAAGATTTTTGGAAAACTGACCTTTTCCTGTAACTTCAAGGCCATTATTACAATCAAATGTACAAAAGCCTTTGTTGCATACAGACTTCTTTAGTCACATTCTAATTAGAATGGTGATAAATGAAATTCTGTTACAGATAATGAAGTTATTTATAGCAACACTTGATGCTAAATCTTTCCAAATGAATGAGCTTCGCCTCAGATGCACATTAGCAGTTAGGCAGTGTGCATGCTTTTTAAGGGTAGTATTTAGTAAACTGTAAAAGTCATTTTAAGTGTTTACCACAGTGTAATTGAACAGTAATGCTTCTCTGGGTTTCCTTAACTTTCACTTCTCTCTGTGTAAAGCAGCCTGTCACCAACTAGCCTTCTTTCTCTTTAAGCAAGCATGGCCCAAAACCAAAAACAAAAACAAAACCCGTGAACTCTGAACTCAGCAATCCGGCACTCTGCCGCTAACTAGTTTTGATACTTTGAGCCAGTGACTTAGACAGTTTAAGCCTGTGACTTAT